AGAAAAGTGAGGTCAAGGTCAAAGAAAAGGTCAAGGTGAAAAAATATTGATGCAGTTGAATAGCTTACATCAGTATGTATCAGCATATGAAGTTTGATAACACTAATTTAAGAAAAGTGAGGTCAAGGTCAAAGGAAAGGTCAAGGTCAAAAATTGTTGATGCAGTTGAAAAGGTTACATCAGTATGTATCAGCATATGAAGTTTGATAAAAATATTATGAATGGTTTCTTTAAAACTGAGCTAAACACTAATTTACAAAAAATGAGGTCAATGTCAAAGGAAAGGTCAAGGTCAAAAAATATTGATGCAGTTGAATAGCTCTCATCAGTATGTATCAGCATATGAAGTTTGACACTAATTTAAGAAAAGTGAGGTCAAGGTCAAAGGAAAGGTCAAGGTCAAAACATGTTGATGCAGTTGAATAGTTCTCATCAGTATGTATCAGCATTTGATGTTTGATAACACTATCTTGAATGGTATCTTTAAAACTGAGTTAAACACTAATTTAAGAAAAGTGAGGTCAAGGTCAAAAGAAAGGTCAAGGTCAAAACATGTTGATGCAGTTGAATAGCTTACATCAGTATGTATCAACATATGAAGTTTGATACACTATGAATGGTATCTTTAAAACTGAGTTAAACACTAATTTAAGAAAAGTGAGGTCAAGGTCAAAGGAAAGGTCAAGCTCAAAACATGTTGATGCAGTTGAATAGTTCTCATCAGTATGTATCAGCATTTGAAGTTTGATAACACTATCTTGAATGGTATCTTTAAAACTGAGTTAAACACTAATTTAAGAAAAGTGAGGTCAAGGTCAAAGGAAAGGTCAAGGTCAAAACATGTTGATGCAGTTGAATAGTTCTCATCAGTATGTATCAGCATTTGAAGTTTGATAACACTATCTTGAATGGTATCTTTAAAACTGAGTTAAACACTAATTTAAGAAAAGTGAGGTCAAGGTCAAAGGAAAGGTCAAGGTCAAAACATGTTGATGCCGTTGAATATTTCTCATCAGTATGTATCAGCATTTGAAGTTTGATAACACCATCTTGAATGGTATCTTTAAAACTGAGCTAAACACTAATTTAAGAAAAGTGAGGTCAAGGTCAAAAGAAAGGTCAAGGTCAAAAAAAGTTGATGCAGTTGCATAGCTCTCATCAATATATATCAGCATATGAAGTTTGATAAAAATATCTTTGATAGTTTCTTTGAAACTGAGCTTTGAACAGAGCTAAACGCAAAGTGTGACGGAAGGACAGACGGAAGGACGGAAGGACGGAAGGACAGAAGGACGGAAGGACGGAAGGACGGAAGACGGACATGACAAACACTATATGCCCCGGCCATATTCATGGCGGGGCATAAAAATTGTTACAAAGCTTTATATAATGAAACAAGAGGCCCAAGGGCCTTAACGGTCACCTGAGTATGATAAAACAATTTCAAGGATGCATAGAGTATAAAATGAACTGAAAGGTGAAGCTTTGTTGCCCAAAAGCAAGAAAAATAGGGTGATCATGATCAACAAAATAATTGGTCTTAATATTCATTAACAGTTCATAAATTAGGTTCTAATCTGTTCCCCATTTATCACTATCACTATACAGTATATTAACAAATTATCAATGCTTCTGTACTATTTTAATCCTTTGTTGAAATCTCTTACATTGGCATCTCTTGGTCTTTGATGAATATTTAATAAGACAAGTTATTTTTGTCTCATTTTTATTTATCTACTACTTACAAGTCTATCTGATCATTAAAACTATGAAAGTACTTTTGTATTATACAATAAAAGTTTTTGCATAATTCTCTATTTACCTTTCAAGTACATTATTTACAGTGATAAATTATCAAAAGTAAATGGCAAAGGGGAATAACTCCTCTCAGTAGAATACAAACTAATAGAGCCCTGGGCAGGACCAGAACACTTGATCAAATGGTCCGGATGTTCAAAAATCTGGTAAAAATTCCCTTCCTTATAAAAACTTTTACTCTGTTTGCCTCAGATATGCCCAGGTGCGGAGAAGATTTTTAAATAAATAATGCATTTTTACTACAGATTCACTATATTATCAATAGAGCCCCCCCCCCACCCCCCCAACCCCAAAACACCAGAGCTTCTGACCCTGGGACCATATGTTTGCTCATCATCACTTTGTTTATCTGCTTAACACTAAGGAGCAAACAGGATTATTTAATAGAATTAATGCATTTTCACTATATTATCAAGAGCCCCACCCTCACACCAGCACATCTGACCCAGGGGTCATGAAATTCACTACTCTGGAAGAAGCACACTTGCTCATCATAACTATACCCTTAGCTTCTTTGCTTTTTTAACCAGAAGAAGAAAAGAATATTTTCAAAGAAATTTTGCTTTTTCACTTTATAATCAATAGAAGCCCCCCCCCCCCCCCCCTCACCAGAACCCTTAAATTTGGGGTCATAAAATTCACAATTTTGGAAGAGGCATCCTTGTGTATCATAACAATGTACTTTAGCCTGTTTAAGCAATACCCAGGGGCAGAGAAGAAGATTTTCAATTTTCAAAGAAATAATTCACCTTCACTATAGGATCTATATAGCCCCACCCTAGCACCAGAACTCCTGTCTCCGGGGCCATGAATTTCACAATTTTGAAAGAGGCATCCTTGCTTATCATAACAATGTACTTAGTTTGCTTAAATAATACCCAGGTGCAGAGAAAAAGATTTTTAAAGAATTAAAACATTTTCACTTTATAATCAATAGAACCCCTGATCCTGGGGCCACGAATTTCACAATTTTGAAAGAGGCATCCTTGATTATCATAACTATGTATTTAATGTGTTTCAATAATACCCAGGAGTAGAGAAGAAGATTTTCAAAGGATTAATGCATTTTCACTATATAATCAATAGAGCCCCGCCCTAACACCAGAACCCCTGACCCAGGGGCCATGAAATTCACAATTTTGAAAGAGGCACTCTTGCTCATCATAACTATGTACTTAGTTACTGAATTTAATACCCAGGAGCAGAGAAGAAGATTTTCAAAGAACTAATGCATTTGCAAGTTATATAATCAATAGAGCCCCGCCCTAACACCAGAACCCCTGCCCCTGGGGACATGAATTTCACAATTTTGGAAGAGTCACTCTTACTCATCATAACTATATACGTAGTTAGTTTATTTAATACCCAGGAGCAGAGAAGAAGATTTTCAAAGAAATAATGCACTTTCACTATATGATCTATATAGCCCCACCCTAGCACCAGAACCCCTGACCCTGGGGCCATGAATTTCACAATTTTGGTAGAGGACTCAATGCTTATCACAATGATGCCAACAGTTTGACTGCTTGATGTCCAGGAGTAAAGAAGAAGATTTTTAAAGATTGCATTAATTTTGGTGGTTTTAGCCCCACCCCTCAGGCCCCAGGGGGGCAGGGACCATGAAATTCACAATTTTTGTTCCCCTTCACCCATAGATGCTATATGCCAAATTTGGTTGAAATTGGTTGAGCGGTTTCAGAGAAGAAGCTAAAAATGTTCAAATGTTAACGCACATCGCACGACGCACGTCGCACGACGCACGCCGACGGACAAAAACGGATAGCAATAGGTCACCTGAGTGACTCAGGTGACCTAAAAAAGTGTAATCTTGATACACTTAGATTTGTAGGGACTATCTACCATACAACTTTTTTAATACTTGGTGATTTTTTTTTTAATTTAATGACTAGTTGAAATTCACATTTTTATACAGATGTATCAACTGGCAGTCCTAGATTCTATGTCTCAAACCTACATGAATCCAAAATGACTATGTCAATAAAATGAAAAAAAACACCTGTAAAATGTAAAAAAAAAATTAAAATCACAATGAAAATACCAGGTGCACATCTTTATATGGTGAATAATGAGTGTATAAATTTTTTAGTCAAATCCATGCAATAGTCGTCGAGAAAAGGTCTGGACAAAATCACATTGAAAAAAATGAAAAAAAAAAATCTGTAAAGTGCAGAAAAATTATTCAATACCAGGTCACATCTCTATATGGTGAATACTGAGTGTACAAATTTTCAGACAAATCTATGCAACAGTCTCTGAGAACAGGTCCAGACAAAATCCCGTCTACAGACAGATGGACAGCTAGACGGATGGACGGACATGATGATTTCAATATACCCCCTCTAAACTTCATTTTTAATCGGGGTGGGGGGGGGGTTATAATATTTTAATTATACAAATTCCTCAATGCAGGATTAGGTCACTTTTCAAGAATATTATGCCTTTAGCTTTTACTTGTTATCTTTGTCTAGGCATTTCTGTTATTTTTTGGTGGGTGTGAAAATAGTCATTATTGCTGTTAATAAAAACAAAATTATAAAAATGTAACATGGCAATGAAATAAAACATACTGTAAATTCTGGGTAGTCCCTCCACAAGTGTGACTCTGTATTAACTCACCTTCCATAGACTGTCTGGTCTCTCCACTAATCTGACTCTGTATTAACTCGTCTGGTCCCTTCACTAATCTGACTCTGTATTAATTCACCTTCCATAGACTGTCTGATCCCTCCACTAATCTGACTCTGTATTAATCACCATCCATAGACTGTCTGGTCCCTCCACTAATCTGACTCTGTATTAATCACCATCCATAGACTAACTGGTCCCTCCACTAATCCCACTCTGTATTAACTCACCTTCCATAGACTGTCTGGTCCCTCCACTAATCTGACTCTGTATTAACTCACCTTCCATAGACTGTCTGGTCCCTCCACTAATCTGACTCTGTATAAACTCACCTTCCATAGACTGTCTGGTCCCTCCACTAATCTGACTCTGTATTAACTCACCTTCCATAGGCTGTCTGGTCCCTCCACTAATCTGACTCTGTATTAACTCACCTTCCATAGACTGTCTGGTCCCTCCACTAATCTGACTCTGTATAAACTCACCTTCCATAGACTGTCTGGTCTCTCCACTAATCTGACTCTGTATTAACTCACCTTCCATAGACTGTCTGGACCCTCCACAAGTCTGACTCTGGTCCCTGTGTATTTGGATGCCAAGTGGAGACATTCGGTTCCAAATTCAAAGTCATATTCAGAGGCCTATGGTACAATTTTTTTAAATTATCATAATGATATACTATTTGGCTTGAATTTTATTTTAAACTTTAAAACTGTATGGATTCCTGAATATTATTACTGTTGAACAGGCTTTTACTTTCCCTACAGATTCTCTTGAGAAACAAAAAAAAAAGAAAGAAAGAAAAAAAATCAAATGACATAACTTTTTTAAATGTTCTCATTAAGGTAAATGTTTGAATATAATCACCCATAAAAGGTGAGATTGCATTTTGGTATAAATAGTTACAATGTATACAACACCTTTTCGTATGCAGTGTTGATAATTTCAAAGTGGAATCCCTGAGGCATTTCACTGGCCACATATTTAGTTCTATCTAAAGATTCAGACAGAAATCCCTCATTGTCCTTGGCTATCACTGTAGAGGTCAAAGGTCGGGTAATACCAGCAGCCTGTAGGAAAAGCAAAGCAACATTATAAATGTTGATCAAATTGTTTACTACTTATTTAATAATAAAAGGAATTGCTGTACCTTTTTTAATATTTTTTAAACACATTTGCAAACTAATTTATTCAAACACTTACATCATTTACGCATTAGTCTGATTATAATGCATTAGGTAGAAATTCTGTAAAAAAACAAGTGTCAGTTCCATCTAAACTTTAACAGAAGAATAAAAATCATTAAATAAATATTGTTAAACTCCCCAGTACAATACTGACTTACACCATGCTGTTTGGCTGCAGTAGCCACATCCTTCACCACAGACTCCTCTGCTAGAACACGTACAATGTCGTGAATCAGGATTACAGCATCCCCTGTACACACTGAAATCAGGGGTAATGGTTTAATTTAAGGTAGCTTGTGGGTTTACCACCCTGTACACACTGAAATCAGGGATAATGGTTTAATTTAAGGTAGCTTGTGGGTTTACCACCCTGTACACATTGAAATCAGGGATAATGGTTTAATTTAAGGTAGCTTGTAGGTTTACCACCCTGTACACACTGAAATCAGGGATAATGGTTTAATTTAAGGTAGCTTGTGGGTTTATCACCCTGTACACACTGAAATCAGGGATAATGGTTTAATTTAAGATAGCTTGTGGGTTTACCACCGCTACAACATGATTACAGAGGCCTGTTCAACAGAGCGAACGTTCGCAAGCACTCGCCAAAATTCCTTATACCTCCAACAGAAATGTTCACAAGCGCTCACTCTGTTGAACAGGCCTCAGGTGTAGAATGCTTGCCATGTTTACATTATCAAACAACAAATGACCAAAAAGCATCTTAAGCAGCAAAAAATGAAACATTTAAAAATCTTCTCAAAGGTCACAGTACATGAACCTAAATTACATGTTTAAATAGGCAAGCATTCTACTTCAGCATAGATTCCATTTTGTTCATATCACTTAAAGCTAAATTTTCAAATATAGGAAAACAACTTTAAGAATCTGAAGAACAACAGAATCACAATAAGTTCAATAAGTTGTGTATAAAGTAAACATTCCCATACAGAACTAGATTCAAGTTTGTTTGAATCATGACCCCATAGGCTACTTTGCACCTGAGTTAAAATTTGCCTGCTACAGTGGCCCAGGGCTCATTATTTGAATCTTGAATCTATGTACTTGAATCTTGAATCTATCTACTTGATGAGTTAGATCTATTTTCTGTCTGGGCCAGTGATATGGAAAAAAAATATTGATTTCACTTCATCCTTTTTTATCTATTTATTTACGTTCCCTTGAAAAAGCCCATAAATGCACATTCTCCAAGACTGCTTTGAGCCAAGATTGAGTAAAACTGGTCTAAAAGTTCTAGTTAGAAGTTGAATATGTGAAAGGTTAACACACTTTAGTCAAACTTTGGTTAGAAAATTTATTTGAACCTTTGCATCAGGCCCAGGGGCCACATCGTTCACCTGAGCACTGTGGCTAGGAAAAAAGCAAAAATCAGTTTAGTATTGAAAAGCTTAAATGCATAAATGGTCCCGACCTACCCCTTAAAAAAAGGGAGAGGGGGTATGATTTAAACAAATTTGAATCTACACTAACTAAGGATGCTTAAATATTTGTTTGACAAACCATGACTTTTTTCCTACAAGTTTGAACTTTCATTGTGGCCCCACCCTACCCCTAGGGGTCATGATTTGAACAAACTTGAATTTACACTATCTGAGGATGCTTCCATGTAAATATGACCAACCATGGCTTTGCTGTTCTTGAGAAGAAGATATTTAAAGATTTTTCCTATGTATTCCTATGTTAAACTTTGATTGTCCATTGTGGCCCCACCCTACCCCTTGGGGTCATGATTTGAACAAATTTGAATCTACACTAACTAAGGATGCTTAAATATTTTTTGACAAACTGTGACTTTTTTCCTACAAGTTTGAACTTTCATTGTGGCCCCACCCTACCCCTTGGGATCATGATTTGAACAAATTTGAATCTACACATACACCTGAGGATGGTTCAATATAAATATAACCAATCATAGCTTTGCTGTTCTTGAGAAGAAGATTTTGAAGATTTTTTCTGTATACTCCTATGTACAGAAACAGAAAAACTTGCTTGTGATGCATTAATAGAATATCATTAAACACATTTACATGTACAGGCCTTTAGAATTTCTTTTAAAATGACTCGATCTGGTTTGTCCATTTTCAATTAGTATATGCGTTTCCTCTGTGTTTGACTATATGCCCACCTTTTCTGAGAGCCTTGACCCCATTATAAATAGATCTGTGTCTTGTGTCCGCCCCAGCTACCACTCTGACCCGGGTCAAGTTGTTCTTCTTTAATTGTTCCTCAACCCAGGGAATGTCATCAAGGGACACAACCACCACTATAGTGTGTACCCACGGGAATCTGTAAAATGTAAACAATAACCCTACAGTGTGTAACAATGGTATTCTGTAAATAAAACAAGTATAAAGTGTAAACAACCACCTCTACAGTCTGTAACCATGGTAATCTGTAAATAAAACAGTATAAAGTGTAAACAATAACCCTACAGTGTGTAACCATGGTAATCTGTAAATAAAACAAGTATAAAATGTAAACAATAACCCTACAGTGTGTAACCATGGTAATCTGTAAATAAAACAAGTATAAAATGTAAACAATAACCCTACAGTGTGTAACAATGGTATTCTGTAAATAAAACAAGTATAAAGTGTAAACAACCACCTCTACAGTCTGTAACCATGGTAATCTGTAAATAAAACAAGTATAAAGTGTAAACAACCACCTCTACAGTCTGAAACCATGGTAATCTGTAAATAAAACAAGTATAAAGTGTAAACAATAACCCTACAGTGTGTAATCATGGTAATCTGTAAATAAAACAAGTATAAAATGTAAACAATAACCCTAGAGTGTGTAACCATGGTAATCTGTAAATAAAACAAGTATAAAATGTAAACAATAACCCTAGAGTGTGTAACCATGGTACTGTAAACCAACTTTTATTCGCATGCGAGAAATTTTCGCGAGGTTCGTGAGAGCCTCGTCATCGCGAATATTTCTCGCCATGAACCGGTCCTTAAAGTCTCTCTTTCTATTAACAACAGATCAAAAAATGGCTTGATCATGAAAATTAATCGTCGCGAACTAGTTTATCCCCAGTAAATCGCGAAATAAAGTCGTCGCGAATAAAAGTTGGTTTACAGTAATCTGTAAATAAAACAAGTATAAAATGTAAACAATAACCCTACTATGTGTGTCTATATGGTTATCAGTGTAAATAAAACAAGTGTAAACAACACCACTATCAAAATCTGTGAACAAGAAAGGCATAATGCATAAACTGGGTCTAAGTTTCTTACTGTATAAGATGATTTATAGAGAGTCTGCTTTGGAAAAGAGAAGATGGGCATATGGATAGAACCTTGAAAGATGTACCGGTACTTAACAAACTCTAGAAACACTGGCCCCATGCATGAATTCTATAAATTCTTGGAGTCTAAATTGAACAAATATTATGCACTTTTTTCTCTCTTCATAATAACAGGAAATCTTCAAAGTTTCTCATATCACAGAGAGAAAAATAGCAATTTACTTTTTCTGACTCCTAATTAACATCTCTGATTGTCATTTATAATACTCATTACTCAATATGTTACATGTACACTTGTGCACATTTTGTGAAAGCTACATTTTCAAAATTTGACTATTATGGGGGACGGATATATTGTATAACCACATAAACTCCTTCATGACAATTTGGCAAGTTAATATCTAAACACATAGCAATACTTCCTAGTTCTGCAATTTTGGTGCATAAACAAAACTTCCCTCTGTCTTTATACACCTGAAAGAGGTATAACTATTATTTTTATTCTGCACAACAGATATGCTTTGTCGGCAAACATAACATAGCTGACGCTACAAAAATGTTATCTTTATGTAAAGCAAATTCCCATACTAAACAAATATTCTGGAAGTGATAGTCATTTATGCAAGTTTGGCTGGGTAGGATTTATAGTTATGGACTTGCACAAAAAACTTCTACTGGAAAATTTAAGTAAGATTCAACATCCACAGCAAATCTGGCAGTGTGCATTATTTTAGAATGAACCTGCTCCAAAAACATCAACCTGCTTTAAAAACTTTAACTTGCTCCTAAAACTTAAAGGTTACTGTAAGTCTGATCCTCAGGCAAGCAGGTTCATAAAATCAGCAGTTAAGTAATTGAAAATGCTCACAAAAATATCTCTGAATTCATGAAGTAATGAATAATTTTATAAAAAACATGTATTTTTAATATTTCAGTAAGAAATGCTCTACATATAGGTCATAATATTATACTAAAAATATTAAAAAATCTGTGTCCAATCTTCTTTAATGGAAGCATGCAAAAACTACAAATATGTCCATAGGACATGAATGCCCCGCCCAGGCTTCATTAGTAATGCAACATGAAAATTTGTTTCTGTATGAATTAGTTTGATAAAAAAAAATTGAATAGTTAATTTAAAACTGAGTTTTATATTCAATAGATAATAAATGCAAAGGTCATTGGAAAGGTCAAAGAAAAAAATTGGATAAAATTGACATTCTCACTAAATATTATCAGTGCATATGCTTACACAAAAATATATTCAATAGTTTCTTTGAATCTGAGCAAAATGCAAATTAAGAAAAGTGAGGACAAGGTCACAGAAAGTTCAAGGCCAGAAGATTTTGATGCAGTTGAATAGCTCTCACTAATATGAAACAGGATATGCATTTTGATAACAATATCTTGAATTGTTTCTTTAAAACTTAGCTAAACACTAATTTAAGAAAATTTAGGTCAAAGTCAAAGGAAAGGTCAAGGTCAAAATATGTTGGTGCAATAGCTCTCATCAATATGTTCCAGCATATGTGGTTTGATAAGAGTATCTTGAATAATTTCAATGAAACTGAGCTGAATGCAAAGTGTGATGGAAGGACAGACAGGGGGAAGGAAGACTTTTTTACTCTTTACTCATCAAATAACAAAGCTGCCTGCTTTCTTGCTAGCCTTGGGTTTAAATTGGCTATCCCTCCTACAAACAAATGGCTACATCAGGCAGAATTCTGTCTTTTTATCCAGCTGTGATATAATAAACAAAATGTTGAGATTTTTAGTCAGAAAACTGTTAACATATGTATAAAATGTTTGTTTTGCTTAATGCTTTAAGATATAGTTTTCCAATTTTTTGGCCAAAAATTACACTTCAGTTTTCAAAGCAACTTAATCAACGTAACAGGATGTACTGAACTAGGGAGAAGGAATAGTAAATCTTTATTCAACAAAATTGATTTCCTTAACAATAGATTACCTGATTGTGTGTGATTATGCAAATAAAACAGTACGTGTCATATTTATTTGTTTTTACAGAGATGACCACATCCTATATGAATAAGGAATGGCCACTGTCACCACCCAGGCACAGGAACTCATAACCTGTGACCTTTGCATCAAAACTGTCCAGCAATTCTGTAACAGCTGCCAAGTCGGTCTGTGTGAATTAAGGAATAACTGTCTAATTTTTTGGATTCATGATGTGATCAATCGAGTGGCTTGCGTGATAATTTGCATAAACGCCGAAGGCGTTTATGCATAAAATTATCACGCAAACCAATCGATTGATCATCGTCATGTATCCAAAAAATCTGACAGTTATTCCTTATATTTACATGCTCCTGATTCTGCAAATTCCCGTGCTAATAGCCCCGCTTCTGTCTCTGTTTGTCCCGCCCCGCACGTGATTTTTTTTAACCGCGCCTATCGATGAACCAGTAGATTTATGTAGAAATAAAGTGTTTTTACCATTTGTATTTTTATCTCGGACAAAGACATTGGAAATGTAAATATGACTGCATCAACAAACATGTCAAGAGCCTCAAGTCCATGAAGCATGACATTGTTCCTTTCACAAGGCGTACAGTACAGCTTGTGTTCCCTCAGTGTACATCTCATTCCCACCAGAGATGTGAGGCCCACTGTCAACAGTGTGATGTCCCGGTCTGCATTGATTGCATCACAGATCAACATAGAGGACATGACGAGGTGAGCCTGGCAGACATCATTGCAATAAAGAAAGAAAATATCAAAAAAGAGGCAGAAGAAATGGAGGACATCATTTCAAAAATACAAAAGAGGAGGCAGATGCTGAAAACAAAATTTCAATATCCATAATGCCCTTTATGCAGATTTAGAAAATCAGTCTAGAGAGCAAAGAAACCAGTGGCACTTGGAGGTGGCAAACATCTTTAACAATATTGATTCATTGATCTGGTCACTCGGAGATCATCATATCACAACTCTAAAATCATGTCAGTCCCAACTCAGAAGTCAGAATTCCAGTATGATCCAAACTGTTCAAGAAAACAAAGAAATTCTAAAGTCAACAACTACCAATCCAAACTGAAGGAATACAGGAACATTCCACAAATATCTGATTTACCATTTCCCTCTCTTCAAACAAACACAGTCCAAGGGAGAGAACTCAGCATAGAATTAGGAGAATACAAGGCTACACTGACACAGACATCACTATCCAGTCTGACAGATGATGTCTCCTTTTTATCTGTTAAGGAATTATTAGAAGAAGCCAAAGTGATTGCAAACATTCCAACAAATGTTAAAAACTTACTTAAAGTGGCCTGTGTAGGATCAGGTAAAGCATGGATTAGTGGAACAGAAAAAATGATGACCTGTGTGGACATACATGGAGCTGTACAAGACACTGTCACCAGTACATGTAAGAAATTCCCTGCTGACATTACAGTATGACCAGACAGGGAGAACTGATATACAGTGATGGTAACAATAGAACTGTGAACATTGTCAGAGATGGGAAGACAGAGACACTGATCACCACACCAAGGGGCTGGCATCCAGAGGGACTGTGTTGTACCAGGTTAGGGGACATCCTAGTTAGTATGAGTACTCCTGATGGTAGTCATCGTAAAATAGTCCATTATCAGGGGCAGATAATGACACAAAAAATAGAGAAAGATGAATGAGATTGCAAATCTATGAAAAAGGAGAACATGGAATGTATGTCGTGGAGAACAACGATGGAGACATAGCGGTCTCTGATCATAATGCTTACACAGTGGTAGTGGTGGACAGGACAGGGAAAGTCCGGTTCCAATACAACAACAAACCTCCAGGAGGAAAGGAATCATTCTGTCCTGGACAAATAGTGACAGACTCCATTGGTCATATCATTGTGACCGACGAATTCAACAAATGAGTGTGGACAGTGAGGGGAGGTTGTGGGTAGGAATGCTCAGTTCTTGGGAATTGAAAGTCATACAGTATTCAAAATACACATGGAATTGAAAGTATATCAAAATAGACCTCAGGACTTTGATAACAAAGATGATAATGGAAATAATTAGTGACAATGATTAAGTTCAACATATAAGTGTGCAATCAAAGTGTATATAGCTTTAAAAATGTTAATCAAGTAAAGAAAAGGATTTAAATAACGGTAACAAACTTAATCAGTTATGATTAAATAATACCAGAGTTTTATCTAAAGTAAAAGAGTCTGTATCAATGAAAATCAATTAAATAAAAATATGTGACCTTCTCCTAATTGTTGTGGCTTATGACCTTGTCCTAAATGTACTGGCTTGTTACCTTGTCCTGGATTGTGACCTTGTCCTAGTTGTTGTGGTTTGTGACCTAAATGTTCTGGCTTGTGACCTTACAACAAGGGGAAACTTCAGTGTCGGTCATCTGTGTCACTCATCCCAAGATGGTAGAAGCAGATATAGGTAGAGTATGTCCTTCACATGCCCATATCTATAGAGAGGAAGTCGGGAGGGTCTGGACCCCCATCCCAGATTTGTAAGAAACTAAAAAATGGCCTTGGACCCCCCTGGAAAACTCCGACCCTTGTTCATTTGGTTTATATATATGAAGCTGAAGAAAAGAAAGAAAATGGTTCCCCCACCCATCCACTTGACCACTTCCCATACTTAAATTTAGTTTTTCACAGTTATGGAAAGTTCTAGAGATAACATTTTTTTAAGGGGGAGGGGGGGGGGTTGTTTCTTGCTTGTCAACAAATTTCTAGGTTGGATTTTTTATTTGGACTGGGGTAGACCTCCCTTGAAAAAAATTCCTGGATCTGCGTCTAATGCATATTATTTATCTGATGTGCACATCTGCAGTAAATATTAAAACATGCACACAGATTTATGCAATTCGTGCAGTAGATAACTTTATGAATAAATTGCCAGTGTTTACCAATTATTTTAGCAATAATGACCTCTTCACTGCATAATAAATGCATATAAATAACAATGTTTTATTTTTTTTAATGAATATAATTTCAAGAAGTTCATTGTCATTTCCATTGGCCTAAAGATTATTAGTGCTCATGAGGAAATATATATTCCATTGAGGATGGCATTCTTGTCCTTGATTAAAAAATGCATCAAATCAACACACATGCTTACCAGCAATAGAATATTCATTCCAGTGCCCATTATAGAAATCCTGTACATTGTACAAAAGGAATGCCTTGTTCATGATACAATATTTTTATTTCTAATAATTTTCCCTTAAGATTCTTTACAAAGAGGAATGCAATCCGTTTCTTCATGATCTTGAATGATAAGCATGAATATCTCCATAAAGTAACAAATATAGTGCAATATTTTTTTTTCAAAAATGATAGTTCAATGACATAATTCATGGCTAGCCAGCAGATAAATAATGTTAAAATAAGAGATGAACCTAATTTTTGAAATTCAAGATGTACATCAACTACAACACTTTATGTCTGAAAGTTTATTATTAAGCAGTATTGCACTTCAAGAAAAATGCCAGAGAGAAGCATCAAAGTTCACGTCCTCATAAATTTTCAAAAATTAAATTCTTGTCTTAAATGTACTACCTGATTGTACATCACCCCCAGACCTACCTGTGGAAAGCCTGCACAGTATACAAAAAGAGGGGCTTGTTCAAGACATCAGTGTACTGTTTTGGTGTTGGTGATCCAAACCTTAAACCAACCCCACTTCCTGGTAAAACTACATACACTGGGAAATCCATCTGACCTGAAAAGAGCAATACAAGCTATGACATTCATCTGTGACTTCTAAAATAAACAACACACAATTCCAATGAACAATATAATTGTCATCTCTGTGTGAGGGCCTGTCTTGCAGTTGGCAGGGCATTGCTCTCCTTTCCCCCCGACACTTCTGGCTAATGGAACCAAATCCCTTTACTTAAATTCTAATGCCATGCAACATTTCAGCAGCTGATTTAAACCACCTTTCGATATAATTTAGTCCCAGTGTTTTTCATCCACATGTTAAAAGCAGCCTTTTCATCCATAATGGGAAGAGATTTACATTGAAATCTTAAAAATCAGAAGTCTCTGATGAGACTGTGGCTCTCCTGATTTTTATTTACAAAGGTAGAACTTAGACTTAAAACTATGGAAACAACAATAAATAAAATAATGATCCTTGATTTAGTCTCTTTCTGAGTAAATTTTAATTACATATGGACAAAAAAGGTAGGAGGAGTAGCATTTTGAAAGAATTTCATGGAAATTTCTATTTTTAGTACCCTTGACAACAACATTCACTGAAATCAAAGCCAATGTATAGAATTATATAACTTTTTGTAGTCTCCTTATGTACCAAGTTATATTGAAATCCGACCTGTAGGAGGAGTAGCATTTTGAAAGAATTTCACAGCTATTTCTATTTTTAGTAACCATGGCAACACCGTTCATTGAAAACAAAAACCAATATAAAGATTTGTGTATCTTAGTGTAGTCTACTTGTGTTACTTAACCCAGTTATACATGTATTGAAATTGTACTTAAACTGTAGGAGGAGTGGCATTTTGAAAGAATTTCAAAGAAATATTTAGTTTTAGAAACTATGGCAACACCATTACTAAAATCATAAACTGATACATAGAATTATGTATCTTAGTGTATTCTTCTTACGTACCAAGTTATACTGAAATTGGAGCAAAACTGTAGGAGGAGGAGTATTTTGAAAGAATTTTACAGAAATTTCTATTTTCAATAACCATGGCAACAGCGTTCATTGAAAACAGAAACCAATAATAGAATTATGTCTCTTAGTGTAGTCTACTTGTGCACCAGGTTATATTGAATTCAGACTAAAAATGTAGGAGGAGTAGCATTTTTGAAGAATTTCACAGAAATTTCTATTTTAAGTAACTATGGCAATAGCGTTCATCGAAATCAAAAATTGATAAAGAGAATTACGCATCTTAGTGTAGTCTACTTGTGTACCAAGTTATATAGAAGTTGAAGCAAAATTGTGGGAGGAATAGCGTTTTGAAAAATTGTTTACAGGCAGAAGGACAGCTAGGAAGACAGACAGACGGACAACAGACACCTTACTAACGCATAAGCCCTCCTGGTCCCTGACCAGTAGAGCTAAAACAGGAGATCATGGAGAGGTAAGAAACTTCTGTAGGGATCACTCTAGTGCTTGTTGTAAGGAACGTAAGACGAACAGGGACAGACCAGTAACTAACAAACAGGGACAGACCAGTAACTAATAAACAGGGACAGACCAGTAACTAACAAACAGGGACAGACCAGTAACTAACAAACAGGGACAGATCAGTAACTAACAAACAGGGACAGATCAGTAACTAACAAACAGGGACAGACCAGTAACTAACAAACAGGGACAGACCAGTAACTAACAAACAGGGACAGACCAGTAACTAACAAACAGGGACAGACCAGTAACTAACAAACAGGGACAGATCAGTAACTAACAAACAGGGACAGACCAGTAACTAACAAACAGGGACAGATCAGTAACTAACAAACAGGGACAGACCAGTAACTAATAAACAGGGACAGACCAGTAACTAACAAACAGGGACAGATCAGTAACTAACAAACAGGGACAGACCAGTAACTAATAAACAGGGACAGACCAGTAACTAACAAACAGGGACAGATCAGTAACTAACAAACAGGGACAGACCAGTAACTAACAAACAGGGACAGACCCAAGGATGGAGTAATCGTAATCGAGTAATCGTAATCGATTGTAATGATTACTGTTTTTCAAGTAATCGACAGTAATCTGAAATCGAAGAGATTTTCAATTACTTGTAATCGTAATTTAATCGATTACAGCTAAAATTTTCAATGTAATTATAATTACTCTTTCGATTACTTTCGATTATTTTATACATAAATGGATGTTATTTTAGAGAATTATTTCCAGTCAGTCACACATAAATATCAAATATAAACCACCTAGTGTAATGTTTGGATTTCCTAATATTTCTTATCATAAGTTAAATAATGTTCTCAATAAAATTTGCATTATAAACCTACTGGTCTAGTATTAAATAATTCAGAAGTGTATTTCAACCATTTATTAATAAAATATACAGATTTTTTGTGTGCATTTTACATTTGACCCACTGTCCTCTTGCTGCATGTCCTTTTTCATATTTCAGATGTTGAAAAACTTTGTCTTGTAATAGAAAATTATAAATAGCAAAAACAGATTTAAGTGCTGTATTAAATATAAATAATTTGGTAGATACACTACATTGTACTCGAAAAAAGAAGAAGATGGAAATACTTATTCATACCTGAAAATGTTTAAACAACTTCAAACTTGTGTTTTAGTAACTTTAAAATTTGAAAAATCATTCTCATGTTTTCATTCAAAATTGTAAGGTTGCTTTAATATCAGTGAGAGCTAGGTTATGAGTGTCTGTAAGAGAGGGAGTAAGTGTCACTGTGTTTGCTTATCTTAATTGGCTAATTAATTGACTGAGACATATCCAGATAATGAGGTGTATTGTAAACTGTGAACTACCTATTGTTTAACTTTCCTAATTCCATTGAAGACAAACAATATTATTAAAATAATTAATAGCTCTCAAAACACTTATTTCAATATAGAATGAAATTGTGCTACATGTATTAGTTAAATTACTTAAAGACACATTTAATTTACGTGTTTATTACTAAGAGTTCATTCTAATTTACTTATTTTTTGAAAAAAGACACATACAGGAATGTTTAATGTGTACTGTCAACATACGGGCAGCCCAAAAACCTCTAATGAATAATTCACAATAAAATATTAAATAATTTTTGACAAGTCAATAAATATGGAGGTTCGGATCCAAGGTTGAAAGGAATAATTAATTCCTTGGCATATTTTATTGTAGGAATCATGTCTCCACTTTCCATGGTAGAGAATCCCTCATTTGGGCATTTAGTGAGAATGTTAGCCAGAATAAAATCTTAAAAGGATCTGCACTGAAATTGCAGGAACACATTCAAACTTCAGTGGATAACATCAACATTTACCATTTAAATATTGCTTTGATATTTGAAGGGATAAAAACTTGAAAGTAATTGATTATTAATCGATTACATCTTCCAGAGTAATTGATTACAATCGATTACAGGAAAAAAATGAGTGTAATCGATTAACAAGAGGCCCATGGGCCACATCGCTCACCTGAGCACATTGGCTTTGCAAAAGCACGAGTCAGTTCAGTATTAAAAAGATTACTGGGGGGAGGGGGATTGAATTTTAAACTACCCGAGGATGCTTCCATGTCACTATAACAAATGGCTTTGTTGTACTGGAGAAGATTTTTAAAAAAATTTCCCATGTATTCCTTTGTAAAAATTTGATCCCCCATTGTGGCTCCTCCCTATCCCAGGGGTCATCATTTGAACAAACTTGAATCTGCACTACCTGAGGATGCTTCCATATCAATATGACTAAACATAGCTTTTCTGTTCTTGAGAAGAAATATTTTTTCTATATGTTCTTATGTAAAACTTTTGACCCCCCACTGGGCCCCACCCTACCCCCGGGGGTCATTATTTGAACAAAACTGAATTTACACTACCTGAGGATGCTTCCATATCAAAATGACTAAACATGATTTTCAGTTCTTGAGAAGAAATTTTCCTATATGTTCCTATGCAAAATTTTCAATCCCCCATTGTGGCCCGACCCTATCCTCGGGGGTCATCATTTTAACAAACTTGAATCTACACTACCTGGGGATGCTTACATATCAAAATGACTAATCATGGCTTTGCAGTTCTTAAGAAGTAGATATTTTCCTATATATTTCTATTTACGACTTTGCTCCTCCATTGTGACCCCGCCCTACCCCCGGGGATCATAATTTGAACAAAACAGAATCAACACTACCTGAGGATGCTTCCATATAAATATGACTCATCATGGCTTTGCTGTTCTTGAGAAGAAGATTTTTCCTATATATTTCTATGTAAAACTTTGATCCTCTATAAAACTTTGATCCTCCATTGTGGCCCCACCCTACCCCAGGGGGTCATGATTTGAACAAACTTGAATCTACACTATCTGAGGATGCTTCCATATAAATATGACTCATCATGTTTTTTGCTGTTCTTGAGAAGAAGATTTTTAAAAATTTTCCCTATATATTTCTAGGTAAAACTTTGATCCTCCATAGTGGCCCCGCCCTACCCCCGGGGGTCATGATTTGAACAAACTTGAATCTACACAACCTGAGGATGCTTCCATATAAATATGACTCATCATGGCTTTGCTGTTCTTGAGAAGAAGATTTTTAAAGGTTTTTCCTATATATTTCTATGTAAAACTTTGATCCTCCATTGTGGCCCCGCCCTACCCCCGGGGGTCATGATTTGAACAAACTTGAATCTACACTACCTGAGGATGCTTCCACATGAGTTTCATCTTTCCTGGCACTGTGGTTCTTGAGAAGAAGATTTTTAAAAGATGCTATTAATTTTTCACTAATTCTTCATTATCTCCCCTTGAAAGAAGGCATGGCCCTTCATTTGAACAAACTTGAATCCCATTTACCCAAGGATACTTAGTGGCAAGTTTGGTTGAAATTGGCTCAGTGGTTCTTGAGAAGAAGTCGAAAATGTAAAAAGTTTACAGACAGACAGATAGACAGACGGACAGACAGACGGACGGACAGACGGACGCCGGACAAAAAGTGATCAGAAAAGCTCACTTGAGCCTTCGGCTCAGGTGAGCTAATAATTGATTACACAAAATTCCTCTAAGTAATCGATTATTAATCGATTACATTTTTCAGTAATCGCGCCCATCCCTGGACAGACCAGTAACTAATGAACAGGGACAGACCGGTAACCAACAAACAGGGACAGACCAGTAACTAACAGGTTGGGATAAATTGCTCAAATAGGATATAATAACCCATTAGGGATATAAAATCCCAAATGAAATATAAATTTACAGTGCAAAAAATTGAGATTTTTCATTTCATAGCTATAAATATTATAAATCCACATCAAAATACTTACTAAATTATAAGTTTAATTAATTGGTTCTTCTGTATCTGATCAACACTGTTTAAGACAACAATCGGATGGCCTATAACTTCTTGGGTACCTGTAAACTGCAAAACAAAATCAAAAGAAAAGGAAACCTAACAAAACAAAAACTAAAATCAAACCAAAACGAAACTAAAAACCAAAACCAAATGAAATGGTCAAAATAAAATATTAAACCATGAATGGCCTGTATGTTTCAGATTTGCGATCTAGCACTACTTAGCAGCTACAATCTTGGAATTCTCTAACCCCTAATTTGCTGAAACTACAGAGATGACAATTATATTGTTCATTGGAATCATATCCCACTTAGTAATTAAAATATGTATTCTAGACCGGCTATATCTCATATGGACAATTGCTCCTAACCTGTAAACCTGGTAAAAGTGTTGTTAACTTTTTATAGTTTTCATATGACATATTTTCTCTCCGGGTTATTTCCCTTGGCCGCCATCTTGGTGGTCAAACTGGTAATTTTTCCTCTTTGTCTTACCAAATCTAAGAGGGTGTGGCAGAAATAATTGGGGGGGGGGGGATCTTTATAGAGTAAAAATAATGAAATAAAGGAGGCTTTAACAAATGTACATTTTTCAGAAAAGCAATGCTTCAATGTTTCCTATCCCACAATGGCCAGTATAAAAAGTTAAAGTTGGTTGAATAATGAAGGAATATGAGCATGTTGACCTCCAATATGGCAGCCAACGGGAAATAACTCTTGCTAATTTGGGCCTAATGAAAACTTTCTATAGTGATATAGGCCCTAATTTAAAAATTCGAATATTTGGGGAGTGTATTCAGCCACGTTCACTATTACTATTGCGTGAATTACACAAAAGTATGGAATCTTCTTGTTTTTCTAAGCTGAGATCAGGGACGTATATATATGTTAGAATATTTACATTTGCAAATGTTTTCTTTTATATAACACTATTGAAAGCAATGCGTATCTATATCCGTATAAACACGGGTTCCTCGCGTCATAAACGTTCGACGTAATTTCTCAGTGACGTCATAAAGGGTCGACGCGCAATCAGAGGATCAAACACGTGCCGTTGGGTTTGAAAAATAAAACGTTTCACGCGTTAAAGATTATAATCAGGCAAATATAAAATATGAATAAGTCACAAATGTGAATATAAGTAATAAATATAAAATATGAATAAGTCACAAATGTAAATATAAGTAATAAAGTATCATTTTTAAACATCTATCGGGCTATAAATACGGGTTGGTACGAGATCAAATTTACCATAAAGCCCTTCGGGCTTTATGGAATTTGATCTCGTGACCAACCCGTATTTATATCCCGATAGATGTTTAAAAATGATACCTTATTTCTTAAATATATACGTCCCTGCTCGAGGTAAACTTACGGCAAATACAACCCAACTGTGATTAATATAAGGTTAAAAGGCTTCCGAAAGAATGAAATAGATGTGTTCCGAAGTAAATTCTAGTTCTTTCTTACAGAAATTTCTATTGGATATTTTGATTCAGTAAACCAATGAAAACAGACTTAAGAAATCACTGTACGGTTGAAGTTTCAAAATGGCCGAATCTGGAGGATCATTGTTTAAGAAAAGAACAAAACAACATGTTTCTCGACGGAAAGCAAAAAGTGAATCTGGTAAGTGTAGAAATGCTACATAAATATAGTAAGGATATATATCTTATCCAGATTGGTAGTTGATATGAACGATTGTAAACAGAACCAGTGACATGTTGACGGTGCCACCGTAAGCAGGTCCAGTACAATCAGTACATTTAGCTACGTAGTTAAAATTACCTACCGTAGCTTTATTTACCTACCTCAGGTAGCTTTATTTAGCTCTTTCAAGGCAACTTTTCAGAATTTTGCTTTTTATTTTAAAAAGACAAAAAAATCGCAAACGAAATGACTACTAATAGTAATATTTACACTAGGGATTATTTAAAAAACAATCCAAAGCAGAATAGCAGATATAGTCTTAACATTGCTGCCTTTGAACACTTTTAAGGAAAAGATGTTTTTCTATTGTTTGAGTAACTGTACACCACCGTGTGTGCGATGAGGCGTGGATAAGTATGATTGCTTCTCATAAGTCATTGTGCTCATGTTATTCTTTGTTATTTCATTCAAGAAGTAACTGTTTGGTCACAAATTAACTGTTGTGTATAGCCCTAAAACTTTTAGAACTTTGATTGAAATTGTGCAGAAAAAGACACATCTCCAAGAGTGATTTTTTCATCAATTGTTTTTAGATGAGTTCAAAGTTGAAAATTATCACTGCATCAAAGTGCAATTTTCTGCACTTTCTGGGAAAAATGCTAATTTAAGAAATAAGTTTGATCTAGTAGCTAAATAAAGCTACTTCAGGTAGGTAAATAAAGCTATGTAGGTTATTCAAGCTACGTAGCTGTATCTAGTGATTGTACCAGACCTGGTAAGGGTGAGCGCAGATACCTATTCAGTTTTAATTCACATCCATCTCTTCAAACCGCACATGACATTTGGTACGTCTAGACTAGTTGCATTACCAAATCAAAGCCTGAACAGTGCTAGTTTTAATGAAGAATGTTTAATCTACTGGGGTTTTTTTCTGCAATATCCATTGAATCAATATGTGATTTTATTTATTTTTTCTTTTTTGAACTTCTGTTGCTACCACGAGAACGTAGTTTGCAGCGAGATGCAATTCGCAAAGCATTATGGGACCACAGGCTACTGCTGAAAAAAATTCGTTTGGATCAATGTGCAAAGTCCGAATTTTCTCTTCGCCCAGGGGTTGCTTTAAGAGCTCGCAGTGACAAGAGGCACTTTGTGCTGCTCACTGCACTCGCTATTAAGTTCTGACCAGATCTCTGGTTCTGATGTTTTTGCTTCATTGTGTTAACCTACTGTGATGAAAAGGAGGGATATTCAGAGAATCCGATTGGTTTTGCCTTAATTTCAGCAAGATTTGTTGAGACTAAAATCCACTCAATTGGGATGAAACTAATCTCAGTGAGATTCGTCAAGACTAAAATTTTTGGACAGAGGTCCGTCTGAATCTCAGACCAGTGCCGCATGTCCAAAGCGAAAAGTTGAAGCGGCCAGGGAATTCATTTCAGCCCGTATTGATTGAAACAAGTGGTTGAAGTCCAGGCAAGATTTCCCAAGTCACTTTGTGTGGCACTGGTCTGAGATTCAAATGGACCTCTGTCCAAAAATTTTAGTCTCGACGAATCTCACTGAGATTAGTTTCACCCCAATTGAGTGGATTCGCCCCGCATGGTTTTCTTCAGTTGTTCAAACATACGGTGTACTTGTTTATGTAAGCAAAAGTCATTGAGCAGTTGGTGTTTAGATTAACATAATTAATGAGCACTCTATTTAAATTCAATAATAAGTTGCCGATCAACATACCAAATAATTACTTCGATTTAAACAAAAATTAGGACAGATGATACATGCAAACTTTATTGTTCAAAAATCATGAAAATAACAACATTTATGTTTAATATGTTTTATGGTGCCACCGTTGGGGCAAGCGCAGTTGTATACGAAAAAAAACCTCTACATAGCTTACACTTTAAACTTTGATCTGGCTCTTCAAACTTCAAACCGCACGAGACAGTCTAGACTGTGAGGTCACATGACGTTGTATGTAAGTTGCATTTCCGTAACTGAGTGTAAATAGGCCTTTTGCAATTTTGTAACGAAAGGCATTGTAGAATAGATGCAATTATTTTTTATTTCATTTAAGCTCTCTGCAAGAACTAAATCTGAATACATGATAACAGCAGGACTGCTTATTCACCATTATCGCATGGAATCCTGGTAGTGAAGGAATTCTGGGAAGGTTTCACAGAAAAATTTGTTTGATGAATATACTGATTTTAATTTTAATTTTCTCTGTTCTTACATGTTAGTCTATTGATAGACAGATGTGTCTCGGGACAAACCCTCACCACATTTAGAATACATACATCCCTTATAGTTGCAAAATAGCAAATTGGCACATATCCAGTCTGATATGATTTTGAAGGACACAAAAGGAGTAACACTCATGCACTGAAAATAACAACCAAAAATATCATAACAAACCTTTTTGAGTCTGTTTATGCCTTCTACTCTAAAAAATAATCCATGTAAAGAAAAAAATCAACACATTTCCTCTTCATTTTGATAAAAAAAAATTTTTTCAATTCTTCTTTCAAATTTTCTTGCCATGTTGATATTCAGGATTCTCTGGATAGTTTAAAGAATACCAATTGACTATGAAGGTGGTATCTCATTGTTTTGTAAGAGTTTGTAGAAAAGTTAAAGTTTGATCAATATATCGATATATATATCAATACATTTAATGAATCAAGATACATGTATCTATATAAATGTTTCATCAACGAGAGCCTATTTGTTTATTGGGATTATTTTGATAGTCATGATGACCTGATGGTGGGAGACTTGACCTACATTATTTTCTAAAGACCTAATAATCATGAAAATATCAATTATCTACATACATATATCAACATAATTATATATCTTTTCAAACTTCAGAGAGCAGCAATTCAGATGAGGAAGGAAATGTTGCTGTCAAGAAAGCAAAAAAGTTAAAACACAATCCTATGGTTCAAGGGGTATGTTTGTGCAAAATAATTATTTATAAGTGTAACTCATGGAATTTGCAATTTTCAAAATTTATAGAGGGGCCTAGAAAGTATCTATTTTTGAATAAGAAAGTCATTTAAAAGTTCTTTGTTATTCGAAACCAAGAGAAATGTAATGAGTCTTAGACAATATATGATAATATGTCTTAGATTTTTAATGTAAGGGTTTATTTTCACAAGAAAACTTGCTGCACCTTTAGAAAATATTATTTTCTCTGTAAAATACAGATGAATGACTTTAAAATTATTTCTTTCAGACAAAGGGATTCCATCGAAAACATGAAGTAGATTACAGTGGAAGTGAAAGTGAGGATGAAAACAAAATATCAGTCAGCTACAAATCGAGTAGAACTGGGGTAAATATTGACAATCCATTCTAAGAAGATTACACAATGTATTTATAATTATACAATGTGCTTTCATTTTGTTATATTTAGCTTATTAAAAACAAAGCTTTTTTATTTTGTCTGATCAAAGTTTTTTGTTGTTGTTGCTTTTTTTGGGGGGGGGATGGGGGGGTGGACACCAATATCTCGAATACCATGGATATGTTGAAGTCATTTGGAAGTCCCAACCACTTACCAGTATTCTTAAAGAATTTTACCCTTGATATGTCAAATTCTCAGATATCTTGAAGTTTTTCCTCGGTCACATCAAGTTCGAGATAATGAGGTTTGACTGTAGTAATTTAAATTTGGAATTTGATATATTAAGTTTCTGGATGCTCTTTAGTTAAACACAACTTTATTAAAGATGGCCATAATAGTTTCTGACTGATTATTGATATTCTCTGGTGGTGATCAAAATTGTGTAATATAATTTTAGCATGTAGAATAGCAAGACTAGGAATCTGTAGCATCAAGAATGGTTTATCTTATATTGTATGTAAACAATACATTATCTATTCACAGCAGGGTTGGACCACCACCTTGATAGAAAGTAAAAAAAAAAACACTTATTTATGGTTGTAAAAATGTACTGGAAAAGTAACCCAAAGTCATCATTAAGTTCACACAGTGTGGGATTTTGCCTTTTGATATATTGTGGATATATACTGAATCTGTACATTGTAGAACACACTTAATCTGTACATTGTAGATCACACTAATTCTGTACATTGTAGAACACACTCATTCTGTACATTGTAGATCACACTAAATCTGTACATTGTAGAACACACTAAATCTGTACATTGTAGATCACACATAATCTGTACATTGTAGATCACACTAAATCTGTACATTGTAGATCACACTTAATCTGTACATTGTAGATGATAGATCACACTGAATATGTACATTGTAGAAGCGAGCTGGGCCAGATGATATGGGAGCTACAGCGACGGTCGAAATTGACACAGAAAAAGACAAAGATGCTCAGGCCATATTTGAAAAATCACAGGAAATTAACAAGGTAATGAGCAATTCTACCTCACAAATAATTAAATTGAGCATATTGGATTTTTAAAAAAAATTAAAATAAGATTTACATCTTATCTCTGTGGAAAATAAAGTTACAAGAGCTAATATGCTTAGAATAATAAAACATTAAAATTTTAACATCACTTAATCACCTGGGGCCTGTTTTACAAAGGAACTTGTGACTAGACCAAAACCTTCAGTTGATTGTAAAAATTTGAAAAATTAATGATTCTGTTTGAAATTGCTAGCATAAAAATATCTTGTTTAATTCTTTTTTAAAAAGATTTAAACCATTTTCAAATAAATGTAAAATTGAAAGTAATAAGCAAAATTAAATTTTGGTCTTAGTTGTAAGTTCTTTTGTGATACGAGTCCCAGATGTTCTTGAACCTCCAGGGTCTCTACACTATTCTACAACACTTCAATCCCAGTTTATCCTCAGTTATTTAACATAGATATTTAGTTTTATCCTCAGTTATTAAATAAAGTTGTTATTCTTTTTATCTAGGCTTTAAAAGGAATGGAAGATGACAAGATATACAGGGGTATTAATAATTATGCTCCAATCATAGAGAAAAAAGACACAGCACAGGGCAATGCTTCTAGTGGAATGGTTAGGTAAGAGAGTCTGGCAAGTTATAAATAAGTAATGAGATGGTCAGGTAAGTCATAGCCCAGGGCAATGTCTCAGTGAGATGGATAGGTAAGTCATAGCCCAGGGCAATGTCTCAGTGGGATGGTCAGGTAAGACATAGCCCTGGGCAATGTCTCAGTGAGATGGATAGGTAAGTCATAGCCCAGGGCAATGTCTCAGTGAGATGGTCAGGTAAGTCATAGCCCAGGGCAATGTCTCAGTGAGATGGTCAGGTAAGTCATAGCCCAGGGCAATGTCTCAGTGAGATGGTCAGGTAAATCATAGCCCAGGGCAATGTCTCAGTGCGATGGTCAGGTATGTCATAGCCCAGGGCAATGTCTCAGTGAGATGGTCAGGTAAGTCATAGCCCAGGGCAATGTCTCAGTGAGATGGTCAGGTAAATCATAGCCCAGGGCAATGTCTCAGTGCGATGGTCAGGTATGTCATAGCCCAGGGCAATGTCTCAGTGGGATGGTCAGGTAAGTCATTGCTCAGGGTAAACTTCTGTGGTTGTTGCATGGTCAGAATGTTTAAGGCAATGCCTCCAGTTCCAAACATCTGCTTTATCCAAGTCCTCTACTGTGAAATATAAAGTCTGTTCATGTACTTTGTAATCAAAAGTACCTGTATTTAAGGTGTTTCTCTGATGAAATCTTATGTCATTAATGTTTTGTATGAAATGTTATCTGTAGGAAGGGTCCAGTGAGAGCACCTGCACATCTAAGGGCCACAGTGAGGTGGGATTATCAACCTGACATCTGTAAAGATTACAAAGAAACTGGCTTCTGTGGATTTGGAGGCAAGTACATGAATAGTTGAACTTTGTTATCTAGAACACTGATATCTCAAATCCAGTGATATGTCAAAGTGATTTTGCAGGTCCATCCACTTTTTAGGTCACCTGAGTCACTCAGGTGACCTATTGCTATCCGTTCTCATCCGTCAGCATGCTGTGTGTGTCGTGTGTTAACATCTGAACATATTTAGCTTCTTCTCTGAAACCGCTTACCGTGAATTTCATGGTCCCTGCACCCCTGGGGCCTGAGGGGTGGGGCTAAAACCACCAAAAATAATGCAATCTTTAAAAATCTTCTTCTTTACTCCTGGACATCAAGCAGTCAAACTGTTGGCATGATTGTAATAAGCATTGAGCCCTCTACCAAAATTGTGAAATTCATGGCCCCAGGGTCAGGGGTTCTGGTGCTAGGGTGGGGCTATATAGATCATATAGTGAAAGTGCATTATTTCTTTGAAAATCTTCTTCTCTGCTCCTGGGTATTAAATAAACTAACTAAGTACATAGTTATGATGAGCAAGAGTGCCTCTTCCAAAATTGTGAATTTCATGGCCCCAGGGTCAGGGGTTCTGGTGTTAGGGCGGGGCTCTATTTATTATATAGTGAAAATGCATTAATTCTTTGAAAATCTTCTTCTTTCCTCCTCGGTATTAAATAAAGTAACTAAGTACATAGTTATTATGAGCAAGAGTGTCTCTTCCAAAATTGTGAATTTCATGGCCCCAGGGTCAGGGGTTCTGGTGTTAGGGCTGGGCTCTATTGATTATATAGTAAAATTGCATTAATTCTTTGAAAATCTTCTTCTCTGCTCCTGGATATTAAATAAACTAAGTACATAATTATGATGAGCATGGCTGCCTCCTCAGAAATTATGAATTTCTTGGCCCTTGGGTCAGGGTTCTGGTGTTAGGGAGGGGCTCTATTGATTATATAGTGAAAATGCATTAATTCTTTGAAAATCTTCTTCTCTGCTCCTGGATATTAAATAAACTAAGTACATAGTTATGATTAGCATGGCTGCCTCCTCAGAAATTATGAATTTCATGGCCCTTGGGTCAGGGTTCTGGTGTTAGGGAGGGGCTCTATTGATTATATAGGGAAAAGGCATGAATTCTTTCAGAATCATCTTCTCTGCTCCTGGGTATTTTTCAAACAAAGGAAGTGCATGGTTATGATAAGGAAGAATGCCTCTTCCAAAATTGTGAAATTCATGGCCCCTGAGTCAGAGGTTCTAGTGAAGGGGGGGGGGGGGGGGGGGGAGCTCTATTGATTATATAGTGAAAATGCATAATTTCTTTCAAAATATTTTTTCTACTACTGGTTATAAAGTAAACAAACAAGTGTATAGTTATGATGAGAAAGGGTGCTTCTTCCAGAATTGTGAGTTCGTGACCAATGGGTCAGATGTTCTGGTGTAAGGATGGCACTTTATTTATTTAATAATATGGTGAAAATGCATTTCTTTGAAAATCTTTAAATACTTAAATACCCCGGGTATACATTAGCAATGTTACTTAACACCAGTGTTTGAAACTCACAGTAAAATTAGCAAGACTTGCAGGGCTGACTGCTAGTAAAAGTTGTCAGCCCTGACAAAGATCTACTAGCCCAAGAAAATACTTGTCTTAAATAAATTTATTTTTAGTTTGTACCTTAAATATCCTTATTATCCCAAGCGAGAGAGCCTTAGTGATTATGTAATTTCAGTTCAAGTTGTTGATTGAATGTGATTTTATAAATGTCATCAAATTAGAGATTCAAGCTTAAAAAAAATACTGATTTGGATATGAAATACTGGGCATAAAAAAAGTTGTAAAACTTTGGAGTGATGTCTATAAGTATTGATATGTAGAAATCAGTGTTACTTCTGTATTTTAAGTGTAAAAAATATTTTTGCCAATTTACAAAAAAAAAGGTTATTGATTTTTGAAATAAGTTTCTATATTCTCAGTGCAGTAGTGCAATTTCAAAGTGAGAGCCTCCTGCATACATATCGATAACCAACTGTAATTAAATGCGCAGTGAGTCATTGATAACGGGTAACAGGTCTTTTAAAAACAAACAGTCAGACCAGTGTTTTAACAACAATTAACATCCAGCTTGTGAAACCTGACAAGAGTCAAAACACCAATTAAGACAATTACTGTCTGGATAAATGAACCATAATATAATGTATAAAATTAATGCATTTTGTGGTAAAAGAAGACCGTCCAATTCCGAACATGCAATTCCGGATAAAAGAGACGAAATTACATTTAAAATTCTGTTCCCAAGAAAAAATATATGGAAGTTCACTGAAGCATCTGGATATCTGATGGTCCAATGTATTCAGTTTTTGTTTTAAAAAAAGTTGTATGCCTATTTTGTGTTCATCATCATCAAAATGTTGAAGCTTTGCTCTCCAGAATATAAACTTGGAATGCCTACTACAGTGTATATAAGTTATATTTCACAATGTTATCATAAGGGACTGTGTTTTTCAGACATCTGCTACAGTGTATAAAGTAATATTTCACAATATTATCATTAGGGACTGTATTTTTCAGACAGCTGTAAATTTTTGTTTTTCAGACAGCTGTAAATTTTTACATGACAGAAGTGATTACAAACATGGCTGGCAGCTAGAGAGAGAGATGGACGAGGGAAGATACGGAAAAAGTGGTAAGACAGATTACGATGAACAATCAAAGAAAATTTAATAAAATCTGAAGTTCGAGTGTCAGTATTGGAAATTAATGATTGCTTTATTTATTTGTTTAGTTTATTTATTTAATTGTTTTTGTTTCAATTTTACAGATGAAGGGAACTATGAAATCAGTAGTGATGAGGATGAGATGCCTTTTAAATGCTTTATTTGCCGAGAATACTTCACTAATCCAGTAGTTACAAAGTAAGTGAAATCCTTTGAGATGGTTAGTATGGTTTCTTTTTGACCCAATAGGATATTAATACAGTGGAGCCTCATTAATCCTGATACAATAAGCCAGACACTTCACCTTCCAGACAAAATTTGTGGGGAACAATTTATATTAAGATATACCAAGTATGTTTTAGTAATCTAGATGCTTAATTAATCTGTATAATGTACTAGAGAAAACAAGTGTCTAGATGAATGAGCTCGACTGTATGTATGGAAGTAAATGTTATATATAATCTGGGATTGAGTAAGCTAGATCTGATGGCTGTATGGAGTCAGTCAATCTATAATCTGGAATTGATAACATGTCTTTGAATTAAAGGGAGTGAGTACCTTTTATTGACAATTTAAAGTTATTGTCTTAACAATTTCAACATCTCAGTACCCCTGTGACCTTGACCTGTGAGATATGACCTTGACTTAGTTTGTCTGCAACATCATACCACAGTTTTAATTTATTACAATCAAGGAAACAAATGTATGTCTCAAGCTGAATTTAAGATCTTATTGCATAGTGACATTGACCTTTGCTGTATGACCCAGAGTAAAAAAAATATTTAACAGTCACATTTTTAGCTCACCTCGACGAAGTCGAGATGAGCTTATACTATACCCCCGGCGTCGGTGTCGGCGTTAGCGTCGGCGTCCCAGGTTAAAGTTTTAGGAGCAAGTCCCATTCCCAAGTAACTATAAGCCCTACCTGGACCAAACTTGCATGGATGATGCATCTACGGATGGACACTACCAAACTTGCTTCGGATGCTGGATCTGACCTAGATTTTCCAGATGAGTGACCAGGTTAAAGTTTTAGGAGCAGGTCCATTCCTAAGTAACTATAAGCCCTACCTGGATCAAACTTGCATGGATGATGCATCTAGGGATGGACACTACCACACTTGCTTCAGATGCTGGATCTGACCTAGATTTTCCGGATGAGTGACCAGGTTAAAGTTTTAGGAGCAGGTCCATTCCCAAGTAACTATAAGCCCTACCTTGACCAAACTTGCATGGATGATGCATCTAGGGATGGACACTACCACACTTGCTTCGGATGCTGGATCTGACCTAGATTTTCCAGATGAGTGGCCAGGTTAAACTTTTAGGAGCAGGTCCATTCCTAAGTAACTATAAGCCCTACCTGGATCAAACTTGCATGGATGATGCATCTAGGGATGGACACTACCACACTTGCTTCAGATGCTGGATCTGACCTAGATTTTCCGGATGAGTGACCAGGTTAAAGTTTTAGGAGCAGGTCCATTCCCAAGTAACTGTAAGCCCTACCTTGACCAAACTTGCATGGATGATGCATCTAGGGATGGACACTACCACACTTGCTTCGGATGCTGGATCTGACCTAGATTTTCCAGATGAGTGGCCAGGTTAAACTTTTAGGAGCAGGTCCATTCCCAAGAAACTATAAGCCCTATCTTGACCAAACTTGCATGAATGATGCATCTAAGGATGGACACTACCACATTTGCTTCGGATGCTGGATCTGACCTAGATTTTCCAGATGAGTGACCAGGTTTAAGTTTGAGGAGCAGGTCCATTCCCAAGTAACTATACGCCCTACCTTGACCAAACTTGCATGGATGATGCATCTAGGGATGGACATGAACACACTTACTTCGGATGCTGGATCTGACCTAGTTTTTCCGGATGAGTGGCCAGGTTAAAGTTTTAGGAGCAGGTCCATTCCTAAGTAACTATAAGCCCTACCTGGACCAAACTTGCATGGATGATGCATCTAGGGATGGACACTACCACACTTGCTTCGGATGCTGGATCTGACCTAGATTTTCCAGATGAGTGACCAGGTTAAAGTTTTAGGAGCAGGTCCATTCCCAAGTAACTATAAGCCCTACCCGGACCAAACTTGCATGGATGATGCATCCAGGGATGGACACTACCACACTTGCTTCGGATGCTGGATCTGACCCAGATTTTCCACATGTGAGACCAGGTTTAGATTTAGGAGTAGTCTCGTTCCCAAGTAACTATAAGCCCTACCTGGACCAAACTTTCATGGATGATGCATCTAGGGATGTACACTTACCAACCTGCTTCGAATGCTGGATCTGACCTAGATTTTCCACATGAGTGAATTTTAGCCATATTTTAACCAAATTAGCGTGGATGATGTATCTAGGGATGGACACTTCCAGACTTCTGAATCTGACGTTCATTTTCCAGATGAGTGGCCAGGGTAATTTTTTTGGAGTAGCTATATAATATTATGGCCTGTTATGATTAAACTTGCATAGATGGTGCATCTAAGGATGAAAACTTCCAGACTTGCTTTGGATGTTGGAACTGACCAAAATTTTCTTGATTACTAAACAGGTCAAAAGTTTTTTGAGCAGGTCTATAATTAAATCAAACTTGCATGGATATTGATCTTGGGATGTACCCTAACTAGAAAAAAAATATGTGAAATTTGCCTTACTTATAGATAACATTCGTCGAGGTGAGCTTCGTAATCTTTGATTACCTATGTTTTATGTTTGTCATTGATGAACAAGAACTATTTGAACATAGCTGCAATAATGTAACCCTTTCCGATTTTTTTTAATCTGATATTTTCAGGAAAAAAAAAAATTGGAGAGGGCTACATTATTGCAGCTAATTTGAACAGTGTACTAAAATTGTATTATACACTTGAATTTTATCAATTTGAACATGGTTATGTTGAGCATCATTGATGTGCTGAAGTGTATTTTTATGTGATGTGCTGAAGTGTATTTTTATGTATTTTAACCTTATTGTCTCTAATCCTCAGATATCTCTTATTTTTTTCTCCATCCCATCACGTTTTGAGATACATTTGACTGTAAACAAAGTGTGAAATTGATTATAAGATGTACAGTGTTTATTTGACATCTTGTTTTTTTTTAGGTGTAAACATTATTTTTGTGAGAAGTGTGCACTAAGTCAGTACAAGAAATCAAAGAGGTGTTTTGTGTGCAATGAACAAACAATGGGAGTATTCAACCCTGCTAAAGGCAAGTATATACATGTATACATACACAGTAAAACACAATCACACAAAAACCACATATAATGATTCATGCTTACAGCAGCAAAGTTATTTCCAGTCTCCTTAGTTTGAAAATGAATTACAAACTCCTCTGATATAACAAATTAAGTTTATAATGAATAAATAAATAAATAAATACTTTTATAACTTTGCTACAAGTGTGTTTGATTCTACACCAAAGTAATATTTTTCAAAACAAGAAATTGGGGAAAAGGGGGGGGGGGGGGTCAAGTGATAGTTAAGAATTCACTGAGGTATGTACATTTTCAAAATTTTTAATAGTTATAATGGAAAATTTGGGGCTTATCCATTTTTTAATGAACATTTCAACTTTAGTCATATCCACAGAAAATAAAATTTAATAATTTCCTTTGTTGTATCTGGTTGAATAGGTTCATAAAAATTGATTTTTTTTCCGGGCATCCATGGGTAAAAATAACAATACTGACTCTCTGATACAGTTTTTGATTTTCAGCAATGACTATGAGTATACATTTTCCCATTAGTGACAAATGTGTCCTAATAACTTTCCAAAAATGCATTATTTTAGATTATTAAGTGAAATATTCATGCTAAAGATATCAGGGGTTGAAATTTTCCTGGAAAACCCACTAGCCCAGGGGCTACTGATCAGTAAAAAAATACTAGCCCAAACCTCAAACTAACTAGCCCAAATATTTTTTATGCAAAACGAAAACATAAGTTAAATTAAAATTTCAAATGCTGTGGTGACAGAAACAAATTAAACTACATTGTAGTTCTCATTCAAAAGAAACCAGTCTACATAGAAAAGCAAAAGTAAACTGACAAGAATTTTTTTTTTTTCCAGTCTGCTAGTCTGACAGACTATCATTACAATTAAATTAGCTATCCCGAGTCTTAAAATGACTAGCCCCGGGCGTCGGGCAACCGTATATTTCAACCCCTGGATATATACACCATCTTCAAAATAATAGAGAGGGAATCACCACTTAGGAATGACCATTTTACTATTTGAATTGTGGTGGGATCATTGAAGATCAGTCTACTATAGACCTAAATGTCCAATAAATGCTTCCATTTATAGTGCAGATTCTGATATGAAGTTTGCAAGATCTGGCATAACTTGTCTGATAAACAAAACAATAGAACAGTTTTAAAAGCATAATTGTAACTCTTCATAATACAATGTAGGCCACATGCAACATCAGAAACTTGAAATGATGTTTTCCCAAACATCTTTGCAACATCAGAATCTGTGTTATTAGGTTTATAAATCATAAGCAGTTTATTGTACCCCCCCCCCCCCACACACACACACACAAAGTTTAGAGGGGGGTATATACTGGAATCAGCATGTCTGTTTGTCTGTCTGACTGTCTTGATGGCCAGTCTTTTATTTTCAAAATTCATTTGGTATAAAGTTATCAAGACTAATTTGATACTGTATAATATATTTTTATTCCATTTTTTTTTAAATCTCAACAAACAAATTACAGAGCGTCATGTCTCATAAACATGACAGATGGTTGTAAGGTTTACAATCTAATTAAAAAACAATATAATGATTTAGTATTATGATGTTTTGTCAGGCTGTACAGGTTCATTAAATTTTAATTATGTTTGAATTATATTTTGACTGTCAATGTTAACAAATTGTGAACATCTCTAGAACCATAAATTACTTTTAGTGACTTTGTACCTTCTCTGAAAAGTGTAAACTTTCCAACCCAGGTTATACAAGTAAACCTTTGATATTATTAAAACTAATTTTTCTATCCAGTCAAGTGACAAGTTACAACCAGAATTAATATATTTTGAAATGAAAACAGAAAGTAAAAGTAGCCTCATCAGACATCCTGATGGGTAAATTTTAATGATTTCAGGTGAAGTATTCTAAAAGCCTTAGATTCTAGTTTTAAAAAACATTGAGTTCTCTGCACAAAACGTCTACTGAATGATTCATTTGATGTGAAATCCAATTGACTTTAGGGTCATTAAAGGTCAGAACAGGTAAAAAGCTTTCTTAATGATCCATTGGAAATAATCCCTTCGTGTAGATAACTTTGATTGAGATGAAATGTTAGCTTATAATAAAGCAAGAAATCAAACACTCATTAAGGATTCCCTGAACTCTCAATAAATCACAGATTATTTTTGCCAGCAGACAAACATTTACCAACATCCAAGATTTGTTAAACTTTGCTAAAAAATACTTTAGAAATGAAAAAAAAAATGTTTTTATTACTGTTTTATTATTTACATGTACAATATGTTGTAAAGATTTGCCCTCCTTTGTGAACATATCAGCAGCTTTCTAGAGAGATCAATTGATTTTTATATGACATACATTTTGATATAGATGATAGATTCCTTTACATAATTAATAGAGAGAAGTTTAAAAGTACACACCAATACTGATATCATTACTGAAGAGTGGATACAAAATACAGCGACTCAAAATGGAATATCAATATTATATTTTTAATTTTTGATTTGATTTCCAATTTAGGGTTAGATTTGAACATTGACTGATTGACTGTCAGTGTTGATATCATAAGATCTAGAACCAGACAAGCTTATGTATTGTTGAGGTTTCCTTCCTTGTCTGTCTGTCTGTCAGTCTACCTCTGTAAAGAATTTTTTAAAATGCTACTCCTTCTACAGTTTTCATCTGGTTTCAATGAAACTTGATACATAATTAGACAACATAAAGATGTTATTTTGAAAATTAATACATACAGATGTATTCTGATAAACAGTAAACTTGATTACAGCAAACACTCATAATGAATTCACACTTACTGAATCTTTAGGCAGGTTGTTTTTTTTTTTTCTGGCTGCCCCCCCCCCCCCTTCCTCTTCAAATCAATACTAGTGTCTGATGTTTATAATGGATCAAAATTACTGTAACAGAGCAGAAGAACAACACCAGGTTCACGTTTACATGTATATCTTTATTTAACAGCAAACAATTACTCATCCATTGCACTTCACTATAAGCATGTTTTACTGTATTGGAATGTTACAGTACATTTTCCCTATTTCAAAGCATAGCACTTATATGGCAGTGTTTTGAATTTGCCCATTGTGTAATTCATGATAGGCAAAATAATGAATCTTTAATTTGCTCTTTTATTTTACTGTCATATCAAATGTTCCTAAGGTCAAAGTCCATCTTTGTTCTGAATTATTTTAATTTTCTTTTCTCATTTCACATACAGAGCTGATGGCAAAGATAAAGAAAGCCAAAGAAAGCAAAGGATCACTGGACTCTGATGTAGAGGATACAGGGGGTGGGGGAAGTGATGAGGAGGACTGAGGGGGGGGGGGGCAGTGAATTGGAAGACTGAGGGGAATGGAAGAAAGGACTGAGGGAGGGGGAAGTAAAGAGGACTGGTGGTTTTTTCTTGGGAGGGGGTGATAAAGGAGGAAGAGGAAGAGTGATGGGGGAGGGGCATTGAAGGGGAGGACTGAGGGGGGAAGTGAAGAAAAGGTCTGATTGGTGGGGGGAGTAAACAGGACTGATGGGAAGGGGGTAGTGAAGGGGAGGATTGTGTGATAGGGAGGAGCAGCAGCACAGATCAGGAAGAAAACAGAGACAGTGGATGTCTAGACTAAGTGCCACTGAGCCACAAATTTAATTACTGAACAGTAAATATTTATTCATGATGTAAAACATCAATATTTACCAGTTGTGATAATTAAAAATGCTCAGTAAAAGACACAAAGGTGTTTGTTTTCTATCATTTTATTGAACAGAAGAACCGTTAATGCTGAAACATCAGGAAAGTTTATGTCAAGGATTTTTTTTTTTTTACTTTTTTAAAGATGCTCCTATGTGGAAATAAAAAAACCTTGTTGAATTATTTAAATGTATGCACAGTTGAAAAGAAATTTGAAATGCGCATCATAATTTAGAAGTATTTCAATGTAGACTTATTTTTTTATGGGATAGGAGGTGGTACTGTTATGTTAGTTACCACTTACATAACCGCATTGCAAGAAAAATATTATCAATGAAGATTAAGTTAAGAACAGTTTACAATACGATTGTGCCTTTGGTTCCATGGCTTTTTCTAACTGAATAGCATGTGTATTTCTTCCACGTGACTTCCATGCTTAGATAGCATTAATATACAGAGTAGTCCAGTAATTAAGGAGAAACCTAAAATTAAAGAAAACGGCAACAAAAACATTGCTAACTAGAGATCAATACTCCAATCAATAAAGAGTAAAGGTTTTATGTATAACCGAGCTTAGGTTACGTTTAAAATTTTTGGCACATTTAACCATTCAATGAAATTCTTTGAAACAACTTGTAAAATCCATTCAAGGAGTAAAATTGAACCGAGCGTCAAATATGCTCTGCAAAGTTTTTAATTTCTGAAAACATATGTACATGTATGTAAAATCTATACTCTTATTCAATATACTAGTATATTTTAGTATCACTGGGACATTTAAAATAATTAATCCGGGAATGAATATGGTTTCTTGTGCAAAGAAACCAAATAAAAAAAATAATTTTTTACTTAAACAATGTTTAATTTTCCTAAGAAAAGCGGGGACAACTCATTACCTTGTATTTTCTCAAAGTAAATAAAACGAATACGAACTTGGTAGAAATAAGATGAATTATAAATATTTAAATGAAATTCAAATTAAATGATATATACGCTGTACTAACACGCAATTTAAGTTGCTTTTCTGTAAATTAAAAAAAAGTGGGAAAAAAAATAAAAGAACAATTTTATGTGATAATTGCAAAGACATCTTTATTTATATATATCTTGACCACAAGATAAAAAAGAATGACACAGGTATGCGCCATCGCTCCGCTGAAAGTTTCGTATGAAACAAACATATACGTGAATACACAATAATATGTCTTTAAGTAGCCAAGAATAATAATAAAATAAAATTTGTCGGAAAGGACACCTTGATAATATGGAAGCTGCCAAGAAAAAAATGCAAGAAAATAAAGAGATCAGAGAAACAACACTTTTTCGCGAATAATTGGCAGGACACGAAATCATGTCTTCCTTTACACGGATCCATCTGATAGCAGCTCAGAAAAAAGACGGGTCGCTAAGTCAGGTTTGCATACATTATCCCCTCCATTGACATAATTCTACATCCAAACCTGATAACTTGTAATCATTGAGGGAAATCTGAGAAAATGAAAGCATGGAAATTTTAGCAGATGGCACAATTAGCGAAACTATTTATGTATTGGCGAAATTGATATCTAATAACTAACATATTGATCGCCAGAACCAAGTCTGTAAAATAAAAAAATCAATATGGGAGCCAGGCTTAGCTCTGTTCTGTTAGATTTGTAGCAAAACTCTGCATTTAAATAGCAATGGAACATCGATAAGTCTTGGTCTTCGTTTCGTTAAGTAAAATCAATGCATTAACATACTCGCAGCCTTTTCAGCGAGAGAGCGCTAGTCCTGTCCAACTTTGAGTACAAATTCTCAATCTCCGGAGCTCTGCCTCTGTGATTCCTCAGAAAATAGTTTCTCTTCACACTCAGTTTCACACGTTCGCACTGAAGTACCGTGAAGTTGCAGCATTGATCCGGCCACCAGTCCAGAAATGGATATTAAATGTTATTAGTGTACCCCCGGGACGGACGCCGGTCAGACAAGAAGATGCCCCCAGAGCTGGATTCTGACGATAGCGATGTGGAGAAGTCACCGTCCACGGAAAGTCAGAAGTACAAAGTTCACTCACATCTTAACACGGACTACGGCAAGAAATCTAAGAGGGACACCATAGACAATATGTTCTCCTACATCAACAGGGACTTACTGATCTGTAAGCTGTTTTATTTTTTCTTCTTTGCAGCCTTTGGGTCGCTGTTTCCTTTGCTTGCCATCTATTTTAAACAGCTGGCTATGAATCCCACCAGGAGCGGTATTCTGATCGGCTTTCGGCCCTTTGTGGAGTTTTGCAGTGCCCCTTTTTGGGGAAGTCTAGCCGATAGGTACAAGAAGGGGAAACAGCTACTTTTATTTTCCTTACTGTGTTGGATAGTATTCACTCTAGCAATAGCGTTTGTGAAACCCCCGCACTACAAATGTATAGAGTTTGGGAATTCCACCCTTCATGGACCGCCACAAGGCTTTGATAGCCGAGGGGTGACCGACGTCATTGGGAGATGGAAGAGGGATGTCCGTGACGATTTTATTTATTCCCACAGTGAAATGGTACACGCTGCAGTATTACATGTGCAAAGCCGATTTAAAAGAGCACAAGAAATACCTAATAATTATTTCTCTTCAACTGTACTTACCTCTGCTTTACCCACAAAATCAACCCTAGACAATAATACATCAAGCACAACAACTAAAACCACGTCTTCCAAGCCTTCCCCCTCATCATCAGACGAGAGGGACACCGGGGAATACACGTGTCCCCCTCACAGTACCCAGTGCTTCAAAAACACGGACATACAGGATACCTTCTTTAAGCTTCTTCTGCTAGTAGTTATAGGGGAATTCTTCAGCGCACCTGCCATTACGTTCGTGGATTCTGTCACCCTTGCCTATCTAGGGGAGGACACGGATAACTACGGCCGTCAGAGAATGTTTGGGTCCCTGGGGTGGGGTGTCTCTATGTTTTTTGTTGGGCTTGCTTTAGACCATTCCAGCACATTTCCAAATCACCCATGCATGTATACATTTGTTACAGAGAAGAACTATACAATATGTTTTGCCGTGTTTTCAGTTTTGATGAGTTGTGCTTTCATCACAGCAACGCAACTGAAGTTTGATGACCGTCATGGCGGAGGTCAGGATATTCAGTTGATGGAAATTGTTACGAGGGTCAAGGACAAAGTTGTTGGAGCAATAACGGGAGAGAAAACGGACAAAAAGGGGATTTTTAAGAGTGATGAAGATGCTGAAATCGGGTATTTGGAGTCTAAAGCGAGCGAATCTAACTTGGAGCGAATGGAAACACAAGACCCTTCCTACCAAAACCAAAACGGAGGTGGAACAATGAACGAGAATGGTAAAAACCTTCATATCTCGCTACAAAAGGGGAACAATGATATGGTGGATGATGCTGTTAAGACATCTGGGTACACAAAGGTCAACGGCCCGGATGATGAAGACGATGAGCCGTTCCTCGGGAAATGGTTTGCTGTGTTGAAGATGCTGGCCACATTCCGGTACATATCGGTCCTGTTTATTTCCTGGTTTATGGGGTTTGGGATCGGCCTCATTTTCACCTTCCTATTCTGGCATTTACAAGACATCGGCGGAAGTCCCACTCTGTTTGGTGTCGCCTCCGTCTTCAACCACGTGTCGGAGTTGATTACTTACTTCTTCAGTAGAAACATCATCAATAGATTCGGTGAGTGAGCATTTCTCTGCATGATTATTATCTCCCTTGAAAAGGCTTCAACAGGGTCTTTGTTTGCTTTCTTCTTGTTGAGCCTCTGTATAGCAGAATGTTTATTGATCGCAAACTGGATTAAAAAGATTGAATTTGCAAGAGTGCAGAAAAAAAAATATCCCAGATTCTTTATCTAGCTAATTCTCAAAACTTCCAAAGAGGTTTTTTAAAAGAATTAAAATCGAAATCACTTTTCAAAATTCAGTAACATCAAAACGTACGACTTTTCGACATTTTATACAACCATTCCTCGCGATAAACTAAAAACTAGGCATTTTGATTTCATAGACAGCTACGTCATCAATAAATATGGAACGCGAAAATTTTCATATTTTGTGATTTGTTATCTACAAAATTACTTTGTAAATCATCATTATGATTCTACAGATACGTACTCTGAGGTTGATATTAAAAGGATACTGGAGTCCCTCATTGACAACATATATGTAGTCTTTGGAGACCAGGTCTTCCAACAATTTCTTAGAATTCTAATGGGAACTAATATGTGCTCCTTTATTGGCCGACCTGTTTTTTTTAAATTTCTATTAAACAGAATTTATTCAAAAACTTCTACTTGAAAAAAAGAAAACACTTGCTGTGACCTTCAACTCAACATTTAGATGACGACGTTTTATCATTTAACATTAGTTACTTTCATTCATATGTCGACTCAATATATATACCAGTGAACTCGAAACCAAAGACACCACAGAGTCTACCACATCTGATCCATATTTGGATGTTTTACTGACTACACACGATAGGGGCCAACTAACAACTAAACTGTTTGACATACGAGATGACCTCAGTTTTTCCTCCGTCAGCTTTCCTTATTAGTAAATATTTCACTATCACCTGCAGATAGTATCTAATATCTCCCAACTTATTCGATACTCGATAGCATGCCCTGAGTATGTTAGATTTTTAAACAGACGCAGGTTATTGACAAATAAGTTGATGTTCCAGATATTTCAACAACCTCGTTTAAAATCAGCATTTCATAAATTCTATGGTCGTTATAATGACTTTGTTAGCAAATATAACCTATGATCGGGTCATATTTTGGCTGCGTGTTTCGTATCAATTGTTAGGCCTTTGTTTTTATACTAAAATTGACTACGGAATATTCCGTCTACCTGATCAATACATAGTGCTCACGGCGGGTATGACCGGTCAACAAGGGGTGCTTACTCCTCCTAAGCACCTGATCCCACCTCTGGGATTTCCAGGGGTCCGTGTTTTATGACCTGTTCACAGATTTGTATTGTTTGTAAGGTTTTTAGAAATCAATCACTGTTCGTTATCTTCACATATTACGTTAACTGAGGTTTAAGTGTGTTTGTATTATCTGTAGAAGACAAAAATCTAACCATGTGATTGAACTTTATGAAGCTAGGACATCGTTCAAGCTTTTTTATTTTCTTTTAATGAGTTGATTGTTATTGCATGCGCGTATTGCTGAGACTCGGAACCTTAACGATAATACAGAGTGCATGTTTCATTTCTGTACAAATTTCACATCAAGAAAAAAGATAAAATGTAGTCATTAGTGTGATATCAAAGGAAATCTTTTATAAAGACTAAACGTTGAGAAGAAATGTTTGTAGCTTTAATGATCGTATATTGGTGGTAGTCCTGTAGAGAGAGTTGGTAAATCGTATATTGGTGGTCGTCCTGTAGAGAGAGTTGGTAGATCGTATATTGGTGGTCGTCCTGTAGAGAGAGTTGGCAGGAAGAAATAAGTCGACATTGCGTGATTCAGCAAGCCTACGAAAATAGGAAAACCCTACGAACGAAAATTATTATTCTCCAAAAATATGATTAAGTGATATGCGTTTTGTAGCCTGGACACATATAATCGATGTTGTAGCGTCTTAGAATATATCGATTATGCAAACCAAATCATTTCTTTATCTTATCATCCATGGCATAAACATATTTTTTCGGTAAGTTTTCTGGTATTGCATAAGAATGAATTAAGAATAGATAAAATAATGCAAGATTATTTTGCCTTAATTAATTCTTATGTCCTGTCAAATTTCGCATTAAGCGCCTCATGCGAAAACGTTTTATGTCATTTGAAAAAGGAAGTTCTTATTATTCATCTTTGAAGAATTTGATCCAATGTTGTGTAAGTACACGTACGTATTTACAAATGGAATTAATCGATCCTAAACTGTGGATATTTCTTTGAAAACCTGTATTATTGCTAGTAGAGTTTTTTATCTAACAATGCAAATGTTTTAATTATTTTTATTTATTTTTTTCCAAGACAGGCTACGCGTTAATGATTTTCAGTAACAACACGATATCGATGAAATTCATATTTCATCAAGATATTGCTATTCCTATTCATTTTCTCGTCCATTAAATGCTTCTTTATGAAAAACAAACTCAAGAAAAAGAGTCTCAAGATCCTAGAGACTGGGGTATAGGGTTTTATTAATTATGGGGTTGACAGGATCTGCCTCGTTTAGGAGTTTTACTGATTACGACATCAATATTATTCATACCCTCCCACGTTACACACGATTATCCCGGCAGATTTATATGTAAATAATAATCTCAAATAGCAACAGTAATGTTAATGACACAAACTACCTATCATGATGAAATATGGTGTTTGATTGGCATATGGATGATAAGACACGGATCAGTCTTGAGACTGAAGCATACAAACCATTATAGCTGTCACTTAATGATAAAATGTATAAATGTTATCAAACCTATAGACACCCACTAATACTAAACATTTTCATCAAAATTGCGCAATTTTTCATCAAAGCGGTCAACATAGTAGTTTATTCATATTACATGTAGGTGTCATTTTTTACCACTAATGCAGCTTTAAAGAAAATACAACTATGTTGTGAACTCTTCTGTAATGTCATGCTTACATGAACTCCTACGATGCCCAGATCTCAGTCCCAACTACACAGAATAGAATGAAATGTGTTAATAAAGAAAAAAAGAATACAGGGCATAATTGCCTGTCTTTTGGAATAATATACATGTATTTCTTTCCAAGCTTCTATAGTTTCGTCAACAAGTTTTCAAATTACATATTAATTTTGAGAATTCTTGATATCGGAAAAAAAATATTTACAGTTCTGAAAATTTTTTTAAAGAGAACACAGATTTTTACTTAAGAAAAAGATATGGGGGTTTTAAAATTTTTGTATAATATTAGAGACATTTTTTTGGATATCTTAAACAATGTACAGCACCTTAGAGTAATGCATTTTATATAGGGCGCTATATAAATGCTTTTATTATTATAATCACCAAACGATACTAAGATGTTTGTGAAACACGCCCATCTATGTATTGTTAAAAAAAATACAACATTCAAATCCAGCCGTGGATTTTACATTTCCAATTATTCCATTTGATTACGTCCTCCTTCTATTTAGGCGCCATCTTTAATTCAGTCATAACTTAGGTTTCTGGTTAAATCTGAAGTTCCCATGTTCTTTCTTCAGAAGTTTTGATGTAAATTAAACAGGCAAAGAAAATTTAAAAAATAAATAAAAACAGAACCTGCTACTCCCCTTATCCCAATCTTCGATCTCATGGGAATAAACAAGAAATGTATCCTTTTTAATGTACCAGTTACTTTGTTTTTTAAGTTTCGCTTCATTTTATTGTATAATTTTAAAGTTGCTAAGTATTCTATAGTCTTATATTGTGTCCCTTGATGAAGACGTATAACTGACAATTTACGTGTCCTTTGTAATCTCAATCGCTAAAAAGGAAAATGAATTGAGCGTGTGAATGTGATAAGTCGCCTCAGATTAACCCAATATTTGTGATTCTGTGGTACATGTCAGTATCGTATTTTTTTATGTTCATATAGGACGTTTGTTAAGACTTATCCTGTTAATATTCTATACAACATTTTCCATATATACATGTAGCTTTACAAAACCAACGGTACAGCCTTTTTTTTTATTTGTTTCTGTAACCAGGCCTCAAGACCATGATCTGAGAACAGACTTAAGTCCGAATTTTGATTTTGAATATCTTGAGTTTTATTTAACATATGTGCTTAAAAATTAGCAGGTTTGTAATATATTCAAGTTGGTTGTACCCTATCTAGGTTTATAAACATGATTTTTAAAGGTCATATTAAGATTTTGTGGATAACCTGACAAAAGGTTTATTTGTAGGTAACGATAAGTGTGTCCAACGGTTTTGTTGGTAACTGGATGGGTTTATATACGTGTACTTCTATAGATCATGTTAAAATGTTGTACGTGAGTTTATAGTGGGTTACATGGTTATAAATTTATATACATGTTTTTTTTTATTTGCAGGTCATGTTAAGATTTTGTACGCTGGTTTAGTGGGTAACCTGGCCAGATTTATATACATTTCCTTGCTCCAGAATCCATGGTGGGTGCTACCGTTTGAGTTTGTGCAAGGTAAGAATTTCAATTTTAAAATGATAAAAAAAAAATAATCAGCACTAAGACACAATGTGTAAGCCTCTTTTTATGGAACAGTTTTTGTATCATTTAGATGTATATAAATGCTCATTATATTAACATGCTGGAGAACTTTTCTATTTGGTAGAATATTTTGATCTTACATAGTATACATATAATTTAGAATAAATGTGTAAGTACAAACTTTTACTTAATTTTCAGCAATAACATGTTTTTGTTTAGGTGATATTCATCATGATGTAATATTTTGCGGGCGATATTCAGTATGCAGTATGATACCGGGGACCTTATTTAGGACATTCTAAGAGTTTTGTTCATATTTTTCTTAACTCGCGATATTTCTATTACATTGTATTAAGAATTATAATCTTGGCAGAATCAATATCTCTCGCTCAGTCAGTCCCTTTGTAGAAGTACTTGTCGTGACAATGAGGATAACTGTCAATAGGTTCTACAAAATCAAGACAGAACTAACGAGAATGAGCTCTCTGTGAAAATAAATAAAATACGCGAATTCAGCGAATGATAATTCCCCATAGCTTTAGTTAACTTTTTAGTGGTAAATTGCCTCATTGCAAAGAGTTTGGATAGGAACCCTTGTCGTCATTTTTAGTTTAAAGTAATTTAATAAATGTTACCTTGATTAAAAAAACACCAATGATTGCTCGTCAAACATAGTAAATCAATTGAACACACAATTTAATTTCTACCAATCAATACAACCAATAGACTGATTAATAATATTGGCTGAAAGGTGTAATAAAAACTACAGTGCTCTCATAGTCGAAAGAGATAATTATCCAACAAATTGCATTTTAACAAATATTTGGAAATATATCAAAGGTTTAATTTTTTATATTGATTAACAAATTATTAATAGTATCATTGTTGTTAACCACATGATCTTTATTCCGTCGTAGGTCTGACCCACGCTGCGGTGTGGGCCGCGTGCTGCTCCTACATTACCCAGGCTATTCCACTGGGTCTTCGTTCCTCCGCCCAAGGCATCCTTCAGGGTCTGCATCATGGTTTAGGTAGAGGCTGTGGGGCCGTGTTTGGGGGACTCATGGTCTATGGCTACGGTAAGCTAACACATTTTATCTTAAGTGTAGTGTTCTGTTTGTATTACTTGAGAGCTTGACACTTTACAATGAGGTTTGGGGTTTTTTTTTAGGCAGTAGGATTACATTCCGGATATACGGAGTCACGTGTTTAGTGGTGCTTGTATTTTACGTTTCTCTGCGGTATCTTTTGGAAGACAGGAGTTCTTTCAGTTATGGCGGGAAACAGAAGCACGAACGTATGGAGGAGGAATCGCCTACCTGTCACTTAGCTCCGCATGGAGTTCCATCCGGAATGGCTCGGGATTTATCCAGTAGTAAACTGAATGCAGGTGCAGTATAAAAAGAATTATGGATATATTATCAAATGATTTATAGAATCATATAATACTGAATTAAAGTTTCTTTAAATCGTTCTAATTCTACAGGATATAACCAGCCAGTATATGGAACGGCCATTAAAGGTATGTAAAGATGTTTTGTTGTAATGCACAGTGTTGAGAATAAAAATAAATTACAACTTTAACATGAAAATTTTGAATTCTACTATTGTAGAGTCCTTTGATCATTCCACCGCGTTTCTTGAGGTAAGAGTAATTACTAGTCATTTTTAGTATTTTAAAGAATCTGTAACTTCTCGATTAGATTTAGAATTTTTATTAAGGAATTAAAGGAAATTGGGTGATAAACAAATTCATTTTACAATTCTTTAGCTTTCTGGGGGCGTCGGTATCGGATTTTTCCCTTGTGAAATAAGAGCCTGACATTTCAGAGTTTTTCATTCAGTCTTTTTGTATTGATTAGAAATAAAATAGGTTTTTTCCATGAAATTTACAGTGGTAACTTCAATCGATTTTAAATATCATTCAGTAAATTCATTAGTTTGAAATCTCTTGAGGGGATTACTTAAAGATGTAGCTTTCATTTGGTCTTCAGCAAAGTAAACTTGCAATTCCAATTGTTTTCAAACTCCTGCGAAGCTTCTTTTTACATATAGAAGAACAGTGCAGTACACACCCGTATTTTTGCTTAATTATAGAAACTGTCTCAGGGCCCGGAGCAACGGGATTACCATGGAAACATGCCACAGATGTCCACCCAAGCATACCAGCAACAACCTCAAGGCAACCCTAATCCTTTCCGGCCCTGATGGGAAATGACGTCATGATATTGTGCTCATCTCGCCCTTTCAAGTTCCATCGAACTCTCTCATGAGCTCATATTTATTGATGCTCTCAAGCAATTTGTCTCTCTTTACAGATTGTATAGGTGATGAAAAGTTGCATAGAAAAAATATGTCAACTAGCATATAGGACAAAGGAATATGACAAATCTTAGTCGTTGCGTATGTAGTATTTAGAATTGTGGAAAACCACAGTCCGTATTTCAAACATGCCTATTTTGGACACATAGTTGTATATTAATTTTATCAACATAATATTACAGAATGTCGTAAGATGATTTACTCTAGATCTGCAGGTGTATTGTTTATGCTGTTAAAAATAATACAGAAACAATGTGTGTCTGTCCCGTGTGAGCATTTTGGTTTATAAAACATACGTGTTTACTAGGGTGCGTTACGCATTAGATGCATGATAAGTTAGTCGTGAAACTGTTGGAGACTAAGTCTCACTGTAGTGATATGGTCTTGAATTTGACATATACGAGTTATACCTATGTTGTTATGAAAGTAAATTATAGAAAAAGAAAATTTTGTATTGTTACAATCTAAGTTACAGTGTTAAGGTCTAAGGTTCATAAACCCTCTGCTCACTCATATAACATGTTTCTTTAACTCTAAGAATCTTAATGTATTTGTTAAGTAAAATACAAACAATTATAGCATAGCTTGCGGGACAAAATTGGACAAAAAAGACACTTCAACTTGACAAGATTATAAAGGAATAATAGGCATTTATGTCATTAAGAGTTATCTCTCTTATCAGAGTATCGATGGACCTTAAGTAAAACGTAGTCTACTAAAGGCAACAGAGTTATTACATACGAGAATTAACAGCGCTCAGTTGTTTGGTTATTCAATAACATACAAGAATTAACAGCGCTCAGTTGTTTGGTTATTCAATAACATACAAGAATTAACAGCGCTCAGTTGTTTGGTTATTCAATAACATACAAGAATTAACAGCGCTCAGTTGTTTGGTTATTCAATAACATACAAGAATTAACAGCGCTCAGTTGTTTGGTTATTCAATAACATACAAGAATTAACAGCGCTCAGTTGTTTGGTTATTCAATAACATACAAGAATTAACAGCGCTCAGTTGTTTGGTTATTCAATAACATACAAGAATTAACAGCGCTCAGTTGTTTGGTTATTCAATAACATACAAGCATTAACAGCGCTCAGTTGTTTGGTTATTCAATAACATACAAGAATTAACAGCGCTCAGTTGTTTGGTTATTTATTAATATACGAAAATTATTTGTTGTATTTTTTTTAACTTTTAATTACTATTTACATCCACTGAATCTCCTTTATGTTTATGGAAACCGATTAGTGTAATCAACTCGTGAACAATCAAATAAGTAAGTTAGGTAACGCGCGGACCAATTATACAATATTTTATATACTTTCAACCACTTAAACAATTTATATAGATATAAATAATGAAATGTCCTTTTTTGTTAATGCGGAGATGTCGGTTGCAATCATTGTTGGGAAAAAAAATTACATAACCTGCTTACTCTTACAAAAAAAAGCTGGCAACTCATATTCCTTATCTTCCTAAGCGTTCAGTTATTGGTTACTTATTTGAAATCGAATATAATTGGTGGTCATTTGTTTAGTCAGGAAATTGTTGGGAGAAATTTTCCTGATTTTCCAAGGTTTGATTGGTTGAATCATATAGAGCCTTTCAATGGCTTCACCAAACAAGAGATGGTCTTTCCATGGTTGAACTAAATAAACTACCGGGTAGTAAGGTAAATGAACTGCACAATAAGAGAAACACTCTTAAACAATACAGATAAGCATTTCAAAGCTTCACTAAATTAACTGCACAGAAGGAGAAACTTTGCATGACATGACTCAACAAACTGTACCATTCGGCTCTTAAGGACTAAAATAAAAAATCAGTTAAATTTTCAGAGAATGGCTAAATAAACTGTAAACATGCAGCTTTTAGTGACCTGACTAAATAAATAGCAGTTATATTTTCAATTACAAGACTAAATAAACTGAACATTTAGGTTTTCAATAATAAAATAAACTACACAGATTTTCAATGACGTGACTAAATAAACTACACAGACTAAATAAACTGCACAGTTAGACTAAATAAACTGTTAGACTAAATAAACTGCACAGTTAGACTAAATAAACTGTTAGACTAAATAAACTGCACAGTTAGACTAAATAAACTAAACAGTTAGACCAAATAAACTGAACAATTAGATTTTCAATGACAAGACAAAATAAACTGAACAGTTAGATTTTCAATGACAAAACAAAATAAATTGAACATTTAGATTTTCAATGACCTGACTAAATAAACTGAACAGTTAGATTTTCAATGACAAGACAAAATAAACTGCACAGTTAGATTTCCAATGACCTGACTAAATAAATTGAACAGTTAGATTTTCAGTGACAAGACAAAATAAACTGCACAGTTAGATTTCCAATTATCTGACTAAATAAACTGAACAGTTAGATTTTCAGTGGCAAAACAAAAACATACAGCACAGTTAGATTTTAATGGCGTGATTAAATAAACGTAACAGTTAAGTTTTCTGTTTTAACTAAAGAAACCAAAGATTTATTGAGATACTTTTCATGATTTGGCTAAAACAACTTTGCAATTACAAACTTTCTATGGCTTGACTGAATAAACTACACAATTGGACAGATTTTACATGGCTTGAATAAATAATCCTTTCCATTAGATAGATTTCCCATGGCTTGACTGAATAAACTACACAATTGGACAGATTTTACATGGCTTGAATAAATAATCTTTACCATATGACAGATTTCCTATGACAGAATAAACTACACGGAAAGATAAATTGCCCATGGCTTAACTAAAAAAATTACACCTTTACAAAGATTTTTTCCTGGATTAACAGAATAAACTTCATCACTAGACAGAATATCCATGGCCTGACAGACTTATCTACTCGAAAAGAGTTTCCTTGACTTGATTGAATAAACTAAATCAATAGACATTTTCACCATTACTTGATAAAATCAACTAACTCGATCAGACAGATTTTCCATGTCTCTCTTATAATGTATAATGAGGTATTTTTGTGTGGAACGATTATTTTGGGGGTTTCACGATTTTTTCCTATGGTACACATGATGAATAAGTGTAATAAATATAATTTGTGAAAAAATGTCCAACAAGCCCCGGGGTTGAATATCGGCGGGGGAGGGGGGGGGGGGGTTCCTGTCCACAAGTACCTGTGCACCATAAGACATATATTTCAATGACTTGACTAAATAAGCTACACCATTAGACATAAATTTCATTGACTTGACTAAATAAACTACACCATTAGACAGATTTCCAGTGGCTTGGCACACGCTAAGAGGAAACCTTACTATCTAATTAGACATCCTGTTATTATTAAAAAGACACAGTGAGACATATTCATCCATTTCTTTTAGGATGTTTGTATCAAGAATCGAAAGATTTATCAAAAATATTAGACAAGAAAATCTCAACTGCACTCTAAAGCAATGTACATTTTTAAGTGCAAGATTCCACTTCATGGGACTCGAGGCCATGGTTGTTTCTATTTTCTGCGCACGCATACAATCAGGAAGGAGGAGCGGAGGAAACTCTTCCTACTGGACCAGAAAATTCTTTTTTGTTCACCTTTTATCAAAAAAAGCAGTTTTGCTGGGTTTTGAAACCTGTAATTAAAGAAATCTAAAAATATCACTTTTACGAATTGAACAAAATTTGCATTAGCCATGTAAAAAATCTATTTTTTCTGTTTTCTGTGCTACTGTATCTTTCATTAAACTTCACAATAAGACTCACTTTTCATGTCTTGACTAAATAATCTGAACAGTGAGAGACTGTGAAGCACATGACTCAGTGCTTGGTCAATATATTAGTCATATTTATATGGAAGCATCCTCAGGTAGTGTAAATTCATTTTGTTCAAATAATGATCCCCGTGGGTAAGGTGGGGATATCCGAAAGGTCGCTGCATGGTTCAAATCCCACTATGGGCACTTGGTGTTGTATGTTTTGTCCTTGGATAAGGCGCTTCATCTGCATTGTCTCAGTCCACCCAGCTGAAATAGGTACCAGCTTAGACTGGGAGGTAATCCGCGAGTCAATATGATTTTCATCCACTTAGCGCCACAGAGAAAGGGTATAGGTGCCGCACACTATATGAACTACATGGCTTGAAAAGGATTTATTGGAGGACTTTATATATGGCTTTATTAAATAAACTGCTCAGCTAGAGATATATACTAGTAATATGGATTACAAAAATAAACTGCACTGTTAGATTTTTCAATGGCTAGCCTAAATAAACTGCACAGTAAGTTAAGTTGTTCATGGTGGACTTGATAAATTCCACTATTTTACAGGCTTTGAATGGCTTGACAATATGAACTTCAAAATGAGAAAGACTTACGAGGCTTGGCTAAATAAACGGTACAGACAATCTATAACCTGACTAAATAACTGCATAAAAAACATTAACTTTCCATGGTTTGACTAAACAAACTGCAAATGTAAGGCTGTATGTGTCACATAGCTGGGAAAGGATTTGACTGAGACTTTGACTAATCAAAGGCATACACAATCTGACGCTGTCTGTGTGAAAATGGTCTTTTTTGTTAGGTGACCATGTAAAGGTCCTATTCTCGCACAACTCCATCAGCAACGCAAAGCACGGGATAGAACTCTGACGTCACAGAAAACAAATATCAATCTCAAAAGAAACATTCATTCTCAGAAATAATCAAGCAACAGATATTTGTCTGTTTATGTTTTGACGTTTTTTTTTTTTTTGTTTTTTTTTTTGTCACTTCTTTAAAAAAAAGAACTAATTCGACGGGGCATTTGTTATGATGGTCGGTATATATGATCTGAGAAGAACCTGCCTTGGCTAAAACAAATCTGTTTGACAGCTAGCAATCCATGGTCCTCAAGTAATGTATTTATATAGAACCAAACTTAATATATTTGTTGCTACAGAAAACAGTCCAGAACCTCTGTAATTTAAGAGAATCCTTAATATTGGATCTGATGTATTTTACCTTAATTCAGAATGGGGCAGATTATTTTGCAATACTGGTATAATGTACGTATCAAAGTATAACAAAAACATTTTGTTGGATATTAGATGACATTTTCCGATTTGAACACTTTATATTGCTTTAGAGATTTACCATTCTTTGACTTTTATATAACCACTTTTATTTTTATTTTTTATAAGCTCTCGGGAAATATAGTGACAAGCGCACATGCACTATGGTGTTATCGAGCAACTTGTTGATGTACTTAGTCAAATTGAAATCAGACAAACACTGCAAGTGGATGGATGCATTTTAAAATAATTTAATGATTTTCCCATTTTAGAAAAATGCAACACTTATAACCAAATTTCGTAATTGGTATAAACAAAGACATGTAACTTAAATTAGTGTACAAGTTATGCTGAAGTCAGGAAACAAACTATACAGGAGATTCATTTTGAACTGATAATTTCAAAGGAACT